CGAGGTTGTTGTTTCATTAAAAATAACAGGAAAGCAAAATTCTGAAGTTTTTGGGGTTCATGTGGAATCCGCTTTCATGGGTTATGGAAGCTGCAGCTATCATGGCCATTGCTTTGGCCAATGGTGATGGTAGACCTCCGGATTGGCAAGATTTTGTGGGTATCATCTGTCTGCTTGTTATTAACTCCACAATCAGTTTCATTGAAGAAAACAATGCCGGAAATGCTGCAGCTGCTCTTATGGCTGGTCTTGCTCCCAAAACCAAGGTAATATGTTGGTGAATGCTGTGAGGTTATTGTACAAAGGATACCGAGACCTTATCCTGAGCTTTAACCTGTTTCTCTGCTTTCAGGTTCTTAGGGATGGAAAATGGAGTGAACAAGAAGCTGCTATCCTTGTCCCAGGTGATATTGTTAGCATTAAACTTGGAGACATTATCCCAGCCGATGCCCGTCTTCTTGAAGGAGATCCTTTAAAGGTTGATCAGTCTGCTCTAACTGGAGAGTCCCTTCCTGTGACCAAGCACCCTGGTCAAGAAGTTTTCTCTGGTTCAACTTGTAAACAAGGAGAAATCGAAGCGGTTGTTATAGCCACAGGAGTTCACACATTCTTCGGTAAAGCTGCTCACCTTGTGGACAGCACTAACCAAGTTGGGCACTTCCAGAAAGTTCTTACATCCATTGGAAACTTCTGTATCTGTTCTATTGCTATCGGTATCGTGATTGAAATAATCGTCATGTACCCTATCCAACGCCGAAAGTACAGAGATGGAATTGACAATCTCTTAGTCCTCTTGATCGGTGGTATCCCCATTGCTATGCCCACAGTCTTGTCTGTGACTATGGCTATCGGGTCTCACAGGTTGTCTCAACAAGGTGCCATCACCAAACGTATGACAGCCATTGAAGAAATGGCTGGAATGGATGTCCTGTGCAGTGACAAAACCGGAACACTAACCCTCAATAAATTGAGTGTTGATAAAAACTTGGTTGAGGTTTTCTGCAAGGGTGTGGAGAAAGATCAAGTTCTACTATTCGCAGCCATGGCTTCTAGGGTGGAGAACCAGGATGCTATTGACGCAGCCATGGTTGGAATGCTTGCTGATCCAAAGGAGGTATACCCCTTTTAAGGTTTAAATTACTTCTGAAATTTAGTTAACAATCTAGAAAACTTGTTCTTATTTTTTCACTTGGGTTTTCGTAGGCCCGAGCTGGAATCAGGGAGGTTCACTTCCTTCCATTTAACCCTGTGGATAAGAGAACTGCTTTGACTTACATCGACTCTGATGGTAACTGGCACAGAGTTAGCAAAGGTGCTCCCGAGCAGGTGATGGATCTTCAACTTTCACCAGCAGATATTAATTCTTTTTTCTTTATGCGGTTTACTGATTCCATTCTCCAACACAGATCCTTGACCTTGCCAATGCCAGGCCTGACCTTAGGAAGAAGGTACTTTCATGTATTGACAAGTACGCTGAGCGCGGTCTTAGGTCACTGGCAGTTGCTCGTCAGGTATATATTTACCAGTAATTCTTACATTTTTCAGTCTTTTTTTGCAGTTTTTCTGCTTGGAAAAATTGTTCAATTGCCTGTTCTTATTCCTTTTTAGGTGGTCCCCGAGAAAACAAAAGAAAGCCCAGGTGGTCCATGGGAATTTGTTGGCTTGTTGCCTCTTTTTGACCCTCCAAGACACGACAGTGCCGAAACCATTCGTAGGGCGTTGAATCTTGGTGTCAATGTTAAGATGATCACTGGTAACTATACTTGTTCATGCTTATATATTTTTGTCCATGAAATCCTTAAGATGTTCCTTCTAACTTGCTCTAACTACGTTGCCAGGTGATCAACTTGCTATTGGTAAGGAAACTGGTCGCAGACTTGGAATGGGAACCAATATGTATCCATCTGCAGCTCTTCTCGGTACTGACAAGGACTCGAACATTGCATCCATTCCTGTTGAGGAGTTGATTGAGAAGGCTGATGGGTTTGCCGGCGTCTTTCCAGGTTATAACTTGATTTCAGCTTTAAACCTCATCATCTGTTCACTATAAAGGTTTGTTATATTGATCCAAGCTTCTTATGTTTTCTGATTGCAGAGCACAAATATGAAATTGTGAAAAAGCTGCAGGAGAGGAAGCACATTGTTGGCATGACGGGTGATGGTGTCAATGATGCCCCTGCATTGAAGAAAGCGGATATCGGTATTGCTGTGGCTGATGCTACAGATGCTGCCCGTGGTGCTTCAGATATAGTTCTCACGGAACCTGGACTGAGTGTCATCATTAGTGCAGTGCTCACCAGCAGAGCCATCTTCCAGCGAATGAAGAACTATACCGTGCGTATTCTTGTAATCTTGTAGTTTTGTTCTTATATTATGCCACCAGTTTTCATTTATTAATAACTATTTTTCCTGCTTTTGACAGATATATGCAGTCTCGATCACAATCCGTATAGTGGTAAGTAGATGCCCGATTTCTAAATCTTTCACTTGTTTGTCCTAATTTTTCTTTCTGTGTACTGATCATATTTCGTTGTGACCTTTTCAGTTTGGTTTCATGCTTATTGCTTTGATATGGGAGTTTGACTTCTCAGCCTTCATGGTTCTGATTATTGCCATCCTTAATGACGGTAAGCAAATGTCATCTTCCATTTTCTATACCGCGTCTTAATACTTTGTCCGCTATATCTTATATTATGTGCCACTATCTTGTAGGTACTATCATGACAATCTCAAAGGACAGAGTCAAGCCATCTCCAACACCTGATAGCTGGAAGCTCAAAGAAATTTTCGCGACCGGAATTGTACTGGGAGGCTACCAAGCGATTATGAGTGTTGTTTTCTTCTGGGCTGCTCACAAGACTGACTTTTTCACGGTAATCATCATTACTTTATCTTATATAGATATATGGCCAGGTGTTTTACTCCAAATCTTAAAAAATATCACCTTTGATTTTCAGGACAAGTTTGGCGTGAGGTCAATCAGGGACAATAATGATGAACTAATGGGTGCTGTGTATCTACAAGTTAGTATCATCAGTCAAGCTCTTATCTTCGTCACCAGGTCCAGGAGTTGGTCATTTGTGGAACGTCCTGGAGTGCTTCTGATGGTTGCATTCGTCATTGCACAACTGGTAAGAACATCAAGTACACATATTTGCTGGAATTATTTGAGGTAAAAGAAACCCCTTGAATTCATCCACTCTTCCTCCCAAATGCAGGTTGCGACATTGATTGCTGTTTATGCCGACTGGACATTTGCGAAGGTGAAGGGTATTGGCTGGGGATGGGCGGGTGTGATATGGATTTACAGTATCGTAACATACTTCCCACAGGACCTTTTGAAGTTTGCCATTCGATACATCTTGAGTGGAAAGGCTTGGACCAGCTTGTTTGACAACAGGGTATATATAACTAACACTCTCTCTATGGACACCTGTTTTGACAACCTGATGGTAACATACTAATCACATCTTCTGCTACGTTAACAGACTGCTTTCACAACCAAGAAAGATTACGGTATTGGAGAAAGAGAAGCTCAGTGGGCACTTGCTCAAAGGACATTGCATGGTCTGCAGCCAAAAGAAGACGTAAACATCTTCCCAGAGAAAGGAAGTTACAGAGAGTTGTCTGAGATCGCAGAGCAAGCGAAGAGAAGGGCTGAGATAGCTAGGTAAGTAGTGATTAAATCACTCTCAACCAAAAAAATGAAATTGATTTGATTGATTCTAACTGATGAATGCTTGATGTAAATGTTGTGACAGGCTTAGGGAGCTTCACACATTGAAAGGACATGTGGAATCAGTGGCAAAGCTAAAGGGATTGGACATTGATACCGCAGGACATCACTACACTGTGTAGTTGCAGTTGCAAAACAACACAAACACTACCAAACCAACCTCTCACCATGACTTGTCTTTTGTTTTGGTCTTCACAAATATCTCTTTTAATGTCATTACAGTAGAGGGAAGAGACTCTTGTGTATTCGCCATAACTCTTCCAAAACTCCTTTTTTATTGTTAGTCATATTGTTCTTAAACCTTCTCTACTCGATCTGAGCTTTGAAAAATTTGCCTTTGAAGAAACAAGGCCTTTGTGTTTGGGCACTTTGGCTACCAACCTTTTCTAATGGCCTTAATGTGATATTATCACTCATGTCTCTCTTGTTTTGTTTTGCTAATCTTGAAGATAACATTAACTTAAGAGTGTTTTCTTCAGTTTTACAACAAGAATTGATATACACATACATATACTTCTAATATAATGAAGAAGAAGTCTATCTTTGTGAGATAGATTGAGATTGCAGTAAAGAATGACTTGGAGTCACGTGCAAAGATATTGATGATGACTTCAAATCATAACACTTGCTGTGATCTTACCTCTATTATGTCACCATTCCTCTAAATATATGCATATTCAGATAAATACATATTTTGTCTCACAAATACAGAAATGCAAAATAAAAATAAATAATAAAAGTTCAGTCGGCTTAAACTGAAAAAAAAAAAGAAAAGATGACAAAACAATATTTTGGTTTGTTTTGGTATAGTCTAATTCTAATATAAATATTAACTAAAAATCAGATAATGAACTTTTCTTAAGGAAAAAGAAAGAAGACAAAACAAAACAAAGGATCTGGGTAACACATGCTATCTTTGGATGCATCACAAAGTCACAACCAACAACTACTTCAAATCAAAATATATGTAAACATCAACAAATAAATAAAACATTTATCGACCACACTTTATTCACATGTTTAACTTACATTATATTCTTATGAATAAAGTCAGCTTAGCTTCTAAATTTGAACTTCCAAACGTTTTTTTCTTTTACTTTTACGTTCAATATAACCCATATAAATTTATAAATTCTGCTTTTATGTGATTGTATCCTTATCATATTTAAGAGAACCCAAAAAAAAACTCATCTGTATATATAATTTCATTTTCTTAAGCATTACGTAGCTAACTTTCCTTTTTATTTGATGTAAAGATTAGGCATGAACCAATGAATTAAATTATATTCAAGAAGTATTAATTATTATCTTGTACAATAGATTTAAGAACCATCATCTGCAACTCAAGGCATACAATGTAGCTTCCGATCTCACTCAATGTCTCCTCCATGTTCATCTCTTCTCCACCTGGCAAAAGCTTCTGCAACTCTTTCAGCCTCTTCTTGATCTCTCCTCCTTCTCCATTGTCGATGTCTTGTTGTTGTATATCATCCTCTTGTTTAGTGCTCAATTTTTCTAGAGTCTCGGAAGAAGAACTTACTAGATCATGATCATGAGGGGACGATGATAGCTTCTGTTGCAAGAAACGGCTCCACGCGAATTCTTGAGCAGACAAGGCCAAAGCCATGTCTACTTCATGTTTCACGGTTTTTTCGAAATGTTTTGGGTTGGTTTGCGAAGAGGATTTGTTCATCTTGATCTTCTTGAGAGCTGGAACCAAGTGACTCACGTATCTTCTGGCGAAGACCACCTTAGGATTCTTGTTTGGTTGGAGAGAAAAGACTCTTTTCCTCTTGTTTAGAATTCGCCTCTCCATGTGAGAATGTGTTTGCTTCGTAGTAAGTCTACAAAGGAGAGATACTTTCTTATATATATAGGCAAAACTCACAATATGAGAGAGAGAGAGAGAAAGGGTTTGATAATGTATGTGAAAGGAGTAATGCGATTGGTAGAGAGAAAGTGAGAGATGGTTTGATATTTCACACGCTCGGTCACACTTTATGAAGTTATTTCTCTTTGATATAAATGAGCTAATATGTGTGTGGGCACTGCACAAGCTATATAAGAAAAATGGTAAATATAGAAATGTATTGGTTTAGATTAACATTAACAATCTTCGGTTTATGATCTTGGAAGCTAATTGAATGATATGAAAAAGAAAAAAAAGAAAAGAAGAAGTGATGAATAAAAATGGGTGATGGAAGAAAAAAACACATGGAGTCACATGGAAGAGCTCTAAATAAGGATGAATCATACCTACCCTAAAAGAGAGGGGGGCTTGAGTTCCCTCTATACCATGTGGCTCCGTTGCAACAATATGAAGACATCAACACTCAAACCCCACCTCCTATTAATGCCTTCACATGCCCTTCTAGCTCTATCTCTCTGTTACATATTACATCCACACATTGTATATATATGAGTGAGAGTATATGATTGCAATCTCATGTATGTATGTATGTATTGCATGTGTGCATGTGTTTGTGTCCTTGATTGATTTTTACCCATTTGTTCTATCTTTGTCCTTTACTAAACTCTCTACTTTACCACCCTCATCAATTACTCTCCTTTTGATTATTATTCTCTTTGGCCGCACTTGTGATGGACTTTGGAATTATTGGTTTCACCACGGCCACATCCTTTTTTTTTTTTTTTGGTTTGCAATTTTGAAAACACCAAAACTAGATAATACTTTTGTTTGTACTACTTTGTATTTGTTAACGTGACAAAAGATTTGTAACCGTTATGTTAAGAATTACACACAATCGAACACGAGTATTACATCTTTCGATTCTCAACTATCTCTCAGAAGTAAGAACATTTGTTTGAACTCGTGGATTTTTGCCTAAATATATACTTAATACATATTTCATTAGACAGCTAGCTACATATTTCATTTTCTTGTTTTTGGATATGCTAATGTCAATGTTAAGTATTTTCACAAGATTTTGGCAAAAATTACAACTAGTGGGGGAAAGACCAACAAGTAGCAGGGACAGACCAACAAGTAGTCGGCTCGTGCCCATCCTTATTTAGTTTTTCATTTAAATAATTCAGTAAGAACACACAACAATGACTTGGCTAGTATTTGTTTGATAACGTTTCCGTTTCTCTATAACATTCCAAAAACTATGATTTTACTAGGAAAAATATAAAATGTATCAGTTTATAGCTGATTACTATTAGATATTTTATTTCACAAAACTTGAGTTTTTTTTTTTTACCATTAATCAGATGGAAGTACTCTTTTAACTTTCACATTTCTAGAAAAACGAAAGCCACTCTCACATATAATTACATTAGAAAATAAACATGAACAACTAAATTTAATATCCTCAAACTTCAGAACAGAATACTCAATTACCGTATACTTCTTTCTAAAGAAAATATAAAATTAAAAACTATATGTATATCTACGGTATTCGTAATTTTTTACTACATATTTTGCTAAAATTTAAATATGATCCTTTTTCCGTCAGTGTGACAAGACAGTAAACCTCTATAAATTAAAACTTGATAAATTAATAATTACTGTATGTTCACATTGACAGAAAAAATTTAACCACTTTGATCAAAGAACTTAGTGGAAATTTTCTATTTAAAAAAATTAATAGAGAAAATCTGAATAAACAGTTCTTATATATCTTTTATCGCAATTATTTTTAAAAATATACAACATCATGCGATCTTCATTAGTTAAAAATTTATTAATTTATCGATCAAAGAATATCGGTATAAATTAAAATGTATCATAATCCCGAAGTTATTGATTTATATTACTTGTATTGTCTAAGGTTTAGCCACACTGTGAGATAAGTGAGATTTAAACCTGATACATATCAAATGTAAATGAAAAACATGCCACTTAAAATACTAATTAAACCACTTTGACAATCTTGTAGATATGTTCCAGAGTTCCATATCTATCTAATTTTTTTTAAAGCACAACACAGTAACTCTTTTCCGTACATTCTTCTAAAATATCTCATGAAAATCTGATTCCGCACACAACACAATCAATTAATAACCAATAATATAAAATAAGATACATTGAACTATTTTGTCGGTTAGAATGGTGATAAATCGTACAACGCTGTCAGAAAAATTTGTACAAAGTATGTGATATGGTAAATGGCATGTTATTATGTGATTTTGCTGATTTGATTAGAATATATAGTTCAGAGAAAAAGGTGACCCCAAAGATTTGGTTTATGGATTTGGGGGGAGGAGCATGTGGATTGAATTTAAGTACATTGTTTGTATTCTTAATTTGGATGCACTTCCCACAAATGCTTCCACGTGCATGCACATTACAACTTGTATTCCTTAACGCCCCCTTCATTTATAACATTTTGTGTACCATATTATTGGAATTATTATAACACAGAGTTTTAAAGAATTTTCATAGTGATTAGTATCTTTTAACTATCAAAACAGGAAGACAGTTTGATTTGTATAAGTACTGCTAAAGATATTTTTAAGAAAAAACTGTATTCAAGAAATTAAATTAGAATGATTTTCTACGTGGAACATCAATTCTGATTTAGTTTAAGATCATAAAAAGTATATGTCAAAGATTGGATGATGTCATAAAAAGTTTAAGATCATAAAAAGAATCGAAGCGGTCAAAAGAGATGAGAGAGAGAGAAGCGGCGAGAATTAGGGTTTTTCGCCGGAATCGCCGAGGTAGAAATATTTTTTCATGTGTGTGAAAAATTACAAAAAAAACACAACTCAGCCGTAACTTACAATAAGTCATAATATAACTCAGCCGTAATGTACCATAACTCAGCCGCAATGTGTCATAACTCAGCCGTAATGTACCATAACTCAGCTGTAAACGACGTTTCGTATTTCCCTGTTATTTTTGTCAGAAAACGAAAAGTCTCTATCCAAGTTGAGAAGAAATTCGACAACAATAACGACGAGAAAGAGAGAGACACACTGATAATAGGATAAGCGGCCGGAAGAAACGAGAAAGAAAAGCGGCGAGAGTTAGGGTTATTCGTTGGCTTCGAGAGAGAAAAAACAGTTTTTTTTTTTTTTGTGAATAGTGACAAAAATGTTCAGTTTCTTTCTCTTTTATCATTAAAGGCAGAATAATGATGTGGCAATTTCAGGTACGACATGGCATGTCGAATCTGACGTGGCAATTTTTAAGTGAAAACAGATCAAGGATATTTATTGTAATTACACCCATTTCACTAAACATCTAAAGAATAAAAAAAAAATGTGGCTGTTTAAGGAATAAACCTACTTTTATGGTCTATCTAACTAACTCTCCTTATTTTCTAAACTGGTTTACTTAGTCAAGAAACCATTAATGTTTTAACAAGGATAGATAGAGAGACTAAAGAGTTTGACCAAGCTTTCCTTTGTTTTTGGTTAGACTTGCAATAACGAGTCTTCGTCCTCCTTCACATCTTTTTTGTTCCAATTTTTTTTTTCATTTGTTGATTCATATTTTTTTATCGAAACAGAAAAATATCGTAATTGTGTATAACTCAGGATTGCTTTGTCTTGGCAATAAAGTTGTAACACACACAAGACAGAATTGATTTTTGTGGTAATTACGACCATATATAGTTTCCTAAACTTCATTTACTATTTTTCTTTGTTTAGCCTATGTTACAAAACAAAATTTGTGGGTAAGTCATTATAGTTTCATATAACTGTTTTAAGTGTTAGTCAATACATAAAAGAGTTTTCTCTAAATGATGAAAAATATAAAAAATTTCAGTGATTACATAAAACCTAGCTCCTGGGTATGTTAAAATGGCTCCATATACCGAGGAGAACAACATGCATTTTGTTGTGAATCCCACATCATTGATCATTCATTGTCGTTTTTGTAATCAAGTCTTTTAAAATCTTTAAAAATTTGTTAACTCTGATTTTCAAAACTCTTTATTTACGCCAATGATATAACTGCTGTTTTCTCTCATTCACTACGACAAATACATCTATATCATCATGTCCGTGTGCACTTGTTCCAACTCTTTCCAAGTAATGAAAGAAATGTTGTTTTTATTAAAGAGTTAAAAACTAGTAAATGGTTTTTATTAGATGTACCCATATTTTGCAAGTTGTATGATTCAATCCATTTAACTTAATGGATTTAATGATTTAGCCCATTAGGTTAGGGTTTATAGTAATCGACCCGTTTATAAATTAAAAACAATATACAGTAAAACCTCTATAAATTAATACTCGATAAATTAATAATCTCTATAAATTAATAAATTTCTCCGGTCCCAAGTTGGGACCATTATAATTTTAGACACATTTGGATAAAATAATAAGATAATATTTTTTGAAAATCCTTTGTAAATATATGGTCCCATCAATATTATAAATTAATAATTAGGTAAAATTTTCAAAATATATGTATATATAGACACATTATTTTTTGTTAGAGTTCATTTCTAATATTTTACTATATAAAAAATTGTTAGAATTCTCTTTCAAGACATAATAATTATTAGTTTCTTTGTTAATGATTATATAAAATACTAATTATCATGATTAAATCTTAGTTTTAAATATTTTTTGAAAAAACTTTCCAAATTAAGAAAATCTCTCTATAAATTAATAATTATTAATTTATCGATAAATTAAAACCTATATAAATTAATAGATTTTCATGGTCCCAACATTATTAATTTATAGAGGTTTTACTGTATATGGGTTATGGTTGAGTTGGATCTATTTGTCTTTATAAATATTATGGGTTATAGTATCATTATCCAACTAAAACACAACTTCTTCAAGTGTGGTTGGTATGTAAATCACTAAATTGTGGGAACCCTTGTCAATATTTGAATCATAAACACTGAAAATTTTAAAATAAAACACAAACGCTTAAGACGTAAAATAAGACAAACAACAAAATCACTAATTGACACGTGAACAATCACGTCTTATCTCACCGGCGTTACCGGTTTTAACTCCAACCCGACCCAACTTCGTTATAGCCGAAACAAAAGCCTGTCTAAAAGCTACTTCACTAGAAGCAAATGAGTTAACAGTTGATCTAGACCGTTGATCCGAGAACAAAACTTGATCGGACGAGAACAAACCCATCCCCTTTTGGAGGTTTTTGAAGTAGGCATTGTCAAATGTATTTGGAGAAGTAGGATCCATGTTAATCGCGATCCTCGGGTCGATTTCGATGGGGCACATTTGTCTCAATTGTAACGCGTAACGAATGTTTAATGTCGGATCGATCGTTCGTTTCGGACTAAAGTTGTATATTCTTTTTGAAAACTTTCCACAATGTGCGAATCCGATAGTATGCGCTCCTAAATATTTATCATAACAATTAAGTAACTGTTAGATTTGGTTCCAATATATGAACTTGAAATTTTTCTAATGGTTTAAATACGTACCTGAGAGTGCGATCATATCAGTTTGGGATAGACCGTGACGAGCGAACATAGTGTTAAGTTGGTTCAAATTGAAACCAGGTTGAGGTAGACTGTGTTGGACGCTAGCCACTGTCGATAGTCTTCCGTCTCTCCTTCCTAGCTCTACCGGATAGTTTGGCCCTCCGGTCTACCAATGTACATAGTATTATTTTTCAATTACACTTCTTTTAATAACTATTTTACACACAAATATATAATAAAATCATATAAGACATGCTAATAAGTTATAACCGTTGATCAAATAAAAAAAATACTAATAACCTAATCCATGGTGTATTGTTTAGTTAATCATGGATGTTTAGACAAAAAGCAATCCTATAATTTTCACTTAGTTAGGTAATCTACATTTTTGATGAATATGTTTTTTGTACTCGCACATATATAATCATGAATTCATGATAGATTTTTCACATAAAAATAAAAATCGAAGCTAATGTACGTAGTACGTACGAATCGAAACTAATATTGTACTCGTGTAAAAAATGAAAGCATATTTCTTCTTTATTTCTTCTTTATTTGACATTTACTTTTAGCCTAGATTAGTACTAGGATTGTGAATAAGTTGAACAAAATATGTCAGAAATAAAAAGATCAATAAGAGTTTGATATATATATTATACCAGAACGACGACGTCACGAGTGGCGAGAGCCAAAATGTCAGCGCATGAGACTTTGTTACGGCAGTTAGGATCCCTATCAACGGCCTGCTTCGCCTTCACAACTGTGTCGAATCCATCTCCGGCGAGTGACACATCATCAGGGTGATTCTTCTCTGACGGCGATGCCAGCAATATCGAAGCATCACATCCCTATACAAAAAAGTTAAATAGTCAAAAACATATACAAGAGAGTAAGTCTTATAAATCTACTGGTAACTTTTTATATATAAGTTGCTTAAAAGCATGTAATATATGTATCTTGTTTCTACCAAATAGCGTTTAAACTTAACCGACAAAATCAAGAATTGTTTTGTACGTAGAATAATAAATCTTACACGGACGAAGCAATCATGAAAGAAAAGGCGGAGGGTGGCTGGTGCTGTTACAAACGTCTGTTGGAATTTTTGGCGGACGGCGTTGCGGACAACAGTTTCGACGTTAGGACATGAGTTCCGGTAAAAGTTTGCCCGAAGCTGAGCAGAGACAGATGAGTTAAGGAGAATGAGAAGAAGAGCAGTAATAGCGAAGCTGCTTTGCTTCTTCATAGCTATATAGAAAGTGAATGTTTTGTTATTTGTTTGTTTTGGTCTCTATTTATAGAGCATCAAAATTTAATTAACGGTTACGTATGGTACATGCAATGCAATGGAGTTTATATTATTAATTTGATGATTACAATTATGATATTGACTTTTTGTTACACTCTCTAATTCCAATGACGTGAGGCTAGGTTGAGGCTTTCACAGTCATTTATATTTTAATTTATTGTATCATTATTTTTTTTTTTCCCTTCTATATATATAGGCTATATATATTTGCTTTAGTTGAAAACGTTTGATTTGTTTTTTAAAATTTATTTATTACATATTTGATAAGCTTATTCTAACGTACTGTTGTTTACATGAAAGTAATTCTGACAGCAAAAATGTTATTATTTTTTGGCAAATGATAGAGTTTAACCAGTTTGGTTATAATTATTGTTTTTTGGGCAGTGTAATTTTAAAAAAAAATTTAATACTTAAAATTGGCATTGTTATTCAACCATGCATATTTGGTAAAATATATAGTTGAATTTATATGATCCATTAAAAAGAATTGGATTGACTGAAAGCATAGTTGCGAAGAAAAAGTATTGTTTGTTAAAATTAAAAAGATTGTATTATGCTCCCTAACAAAAAATTATGATAAATGCAAAATCGATCTAAGATTGGTCGCCAGCCCTGTTAGAATCTAAACCAATCTCGGTGTCAAGTTTAAATCATGTTGATCTTATCTTTGCCAACTCAAAGCCATGTTACCACTTCTTAGCAACTACTTGAACAAGAGGGACTACTAAGAAGAAGTACTACTCATTTGATTTGATCTATATACATCTTACCAGATTACATCCTTCTCAAGATCTAAAGCTGACTAGTAATGAAAAGTGACATGGGTTTGGAATTTGAAAAACATTATATATTTTTGATGATGTACAATAAAAGTTGACAAGTCTTGCAAATTCACAAAATAAATAAGGACCATACTAAAGTAGAATATTTATTTTTTAAGGAAATTAAAAAAAAAAGCCAAGGGACATGAGAGAGCACATCAAAAGATGTTTAATGTTTATGATATGGCCTAATATGAGATTAAAATTTTTCGTAATGAAAATTTTGTTGTTCGTGTAATTTGAAAAGTTCAAAACAGTATTTCATATGTTTGGGTGTCTTACCATATTATTAAGCTACATAAACAGTAGTTGTAATGCAATTAGATCGAGGAATGATTACTATAATTATAAAAACCTAATTATGAAATTGGAGATTTTTTTTTAATGAAAAAATCATCACGGGAGATGAGATATATATAGAATATATATGCAGTAAATTAGGGATTAGTCTATATATGAAAACTTTTCAATGGATTAAGACAAATATTAATATAAATATTGAGAGCTCTAAACAATGTCAGCTCATCACATGCAATGAAACCTTGATTCAAGGAAGAAACTATGCAGCCTGTGACATAATCTCTCGGCTGTTCTTAGTTTTCGTGTATTGACCAATAATCAAATTAAGGATTAATTTTTTTCTACACACTCTTTGAACATAAAAATATAATGGTAAAGTCCGGAAAAAATATTGAGTACTGTTATACTGGAGAAAGAAAATGCCAAAGATGTGGTATTTTTATATTTTAAAAAAATAATAATAAAATAAGATATATATATATATATATATATATAAATATATTTGGGTTTTTAAATATTGTTAGAATTCCTATTAAGAATTAGTAAAGTGGACTCGTAAAAATTTGGATGAATATTAAACACATTGTTTTTATAAATGAACGTTTTAAAATATATGATATTGTACATGAATATAACTATTTTAAAATAAATTATGTTGAACATAAAATAAATTATTTTTAAATGGTGCAAAGCGCACAGTAGCACCAATGTTTTCTTACTAACCCATGAGTTATGGCGAATGCGGTGAATCACTATTTAAATACAAGTTGTTCGAGGTTCACAAAAAAAAAAAAATTACAAGCTGTTCGATATATATATTTTTTTTTAAATAGTAGTACTATAGTACATAATAGATTTCCAATTAGTGACCACTTTTTAGGAATACAATGAAGAGGAATGTGGTGTTCCTCATTGTTCCTCAATTTTTGCTACCATTTACGCATAATGTTTTTTCAATTTTCAGATATGTGAGATCTAATATTATTCCTATTCATTCCTCAAATAAAAAGGAACAACAGTTCAAAAATGTTCCTACTCAAAATTGTAGAGGAACAATGAGGAACAAATATTATTTTTCGTTTTTTTATAATTCAATATTTTAAAAATATTTATATTAACAATTTTGACATTTCTATATAAAAAATATTTTAAAAAATTATTATATATTTTAAATAAAATATTATTTCATCATAATTTTCACTTTCTATTAATGTTTTGAATTTATATATTATATTAGAAAAATATTTAAAGAAATTTAAAATAGGTTTTAACTTAAAACATTTATTAATGTTTTAAAATATAAAAAAAAAATTAAATTTAATATATTAAGTATTATAATTTAAATGAAAGTTCTAAACTAAATTTCGTTTTAAACTTAAATTTATTAAATAATTTTTTGTATAAATTATTTATATTATTTAAGTTTACTTGTTCAATTTTTTGATTACCATTTACTGGAACATTTGTTCTATTTTTCCTCAGCATTTATTCCTATTTTTTATGAGAATTCTTTTCCTGTTTGTTCTTTTTTATTTTTGTTCCTTTTCGTTCTTTTTATTCCTAAATGGGTTACCAATCGGAGCCTAGATTTTCTGTAAAAAGCTTAGTAAGAAAATTTACCAATTTAAAAATTGAGAGTAAAATAGCATAAACATTCAAATACATCATAAGAAAAAGTATGAAAAATACAATAGTTGTTAAACCATTAATTATTATATAGAAAAAAGTATTATCATTAATTACTCATAATTATCACGATCCATGCACACCACGAGTATTGTGAAAAACGTTTCCTTCACTAAAATTCTATTCCATCTCTTCCATAAAAAAGGACCATACTAGATTTTTTATCAACCAAAGTCATATTACTAACAAGTGGTTAGCATAACGCTTTGTAACCACTGAAGACATTAACAAATTATCGAATTAAACCTTGAGAAAGACATTCCCAACTAAAAGCACCATCCACACTAATTAAACATGAAGAATCTAATATTCCACACCTTATAGATCTTCGTCCACAGCTCATCTATTTCCATTTATCTGTCTCTCACCACACCTCTCGCTTCCATCACCAATATTTGATTATGTAATCATTTCAATCTCTTGTTTTGGTTTGTTTGATCATATGTAAGTGATTCATTCGTCGAGCTTAAGGATAAAAAAAAACCGTGGCTTTATTGAAATAGCAAATACAAAATATGTGGATAGATGATTACATCTTTATGATACAACAACATGAGCCACGCATACATTTACCGATGACTAAATTGCTTATTTCTTTAACACAAAACTGGGTGCATGCATTGTCTCCTCCCGCATAACATGGAGCTGGTTGGTAGCATAAATACCTTTGCTTTATTCCAAAACCTATTTTACAAATAAACCATTAAACAAATACTAATACATTCATAAAATAATAAAAAAAAATATTAAAAAACAAAACAAACAGGAGTATAATTAGTAAGAAATTAGTACCAGGAGTGTTATCATCACAACGAACTGAAGATGTGGCCAAGAGAACAGTTAGAACAAATGCGAGCAACATTTTCTTTGTGATAGCCATTTTTATGATATTACTTTTGTTGTTGTTGTTGTTGTTTTCTATTAGATGTGTTTATATATATATATAGTCACACAAATAACTCTGTACAAGGTATTACTTTTCAGTCAAAGATGATACGTATCAAATAAGATATTTCCGTATAAATAAGAATGGAGGATTTGTTACCTTATCATGCTTGAACATTAATCCTTACTTTTGACTCCGTTTAATGTATTAATTCAATTGATCTAATAAAAGGAAAAAAAATCATGGAAAATATTTGTCCATTAACAGTCAATCCAACCACTGATCACTACCTTCCCAAGCTGGTCCAGCTAGAGTGTCACTCGACCAGCTAACATTCACTCTACCAAGTAGTTGATCTAGCCTGTTAGCTCGTCATGTCCAGCTCATTACCGCTCAATATATGTTTTTCGGAAGCTAATTAACCAACTTCCCTTAGGACTTGGTTCGAAATTTTAAACTTGTACTCAAGCCAAGTATTCCTTGGCGATTCTACTGAGGGTCATGGGAGTTACAAAAATCCTCACCCCTTTGAATGAGATTCGTCCTCGAATGTCCCAAAATCCAATTCAAGTTTGATTTTCACCATCTCCTTAAACCACTTAGTAAAATCGGCTTGATTGCTTTGAATATTTTGGCTGTGAATCAAAAAAGGAAATCAAGATTTTCTAACGTTTGATTGCTTTTAATTTAGTGTTGTAGACCAAAAATTGGCTGTGGAAAGATTTTAAAGTCATAACCAATCAAGGTCTTTATCTTGTAATCTCCAAGTAGCTTTTTCATTTCCCAATTCCAAATAGTCTTTATCATGTTAATATTTTACCACCTTCTCCATTTGATCACTGATTCAAATTGGTCATGCTTCCCACCGTTTAGTAATGTTGTAACTCGATAGGCATATCCTTCACACGGTCGTTTTGATCACTTGCACATTTCCATAGTTGAGATACATGAAAACTTTTTTGCCTGTGACTTGATGGTGGCAAGTAATTGAATGGCAAAGTTCATCAACATGTTCTTTCGAATGACCATGATTAAAAAGGGTCAAAATCCATTTTGATATCATCTCCTACTTTGTATTACAACATCACAACTGAATTCACAGGATACAAACTCACAAAGAAAAGGCTCAAGATAAGAGTTCGGATCATGAACATAGCAACAAAAGTTTGTTTAAAAACTTGGGATTCATTCCGAGTCAGAATCAGAATGAGCACTCTGCCTTACGTTCCTTCTGACTTGTGTAGTAGACTTTGGTTTAAGAGATGACTCTCCCTCGTAGTGGATCACTTGTGCTCTGGCTATTCTCTCTTCCAAATCCTCTGTGCTGAAATCATCTTTCCCTCCTAGCTCATTGAACCCAACCTATCAACAACAACAACAACATTGATCATAATACATTAAATCATATTCTAAAGAGACTAACAAAATCTTCGTGTTGATTATCATTATTATTACCACATAATCATCCACTTTAGTGCTCTTAATGAGTGCTAGAGTAGGAAGAACAACAATCTTCAGCCTCTCAGCCAAGAATGGACTTTTCTCAGCTTGAATCTTCACAAAACGCGTCTCAATGTGTTGCTTTGCCAATATACTCATGTGTTTATCCATCACCTACACAAACATTTCCCTTTATAAAACACCAACCATCCCAAAAAAAAAACACTTTCACAGACACAAAGTATTGTAAGTTTATTGATAATTTCCCTTGCATCACTTCCAAGCTCTAAGAACCTCAGAGATCATTCACAATGAAGAATCATTTTGAAACCTGAATCTTATGCTAAAACTAGTGGCTATGCTAAAACCAATATACCATTTATAAACATCAATCATCCAAAACACACACGATCATCTTCATAGAGACGAGCAATAAACAAGAACGAGCATTGTAAGCGTATCATAATATTCCCTGCATCACATTCTAGCTCTAAGCAGCTCCAAGATCAGAAGTAAGATTCAAGCAATGCAGACAAAAATCACAAAACTTGAAACTTATACTAAGAAGTACCACTTTTTGGATTCCTAACATCTCTAATCAAAGATCATACATTTGAACTACGCAAATGAAACCCCAAAAATTTGAAAAACATTGAAGCTAGAGTATACGAATCCATACTTTACAGGGCCAATTCTCGCGGTAGAAGTGGCATACAACGCGTTCGCTAGCCTTAACGACGGTGAAGAAGTCTTTCTCAGAATGGATCTCAGAGTATTCGCCATGTCCAAGACTCATCCAACGTTTCTTTTTCTCAGCCATTTTCTTCATCTGCTTTAACCTTCTCTCCCTCAGAACCTCTAGATCGTCTTCGTCAAGCTTTTCTAAAGACGCGATCTCGTCGTCTATCTTATCTTCCATGGCTTTCGCCACCGTTAAAACCTGTTTCTCCAGAATCTGCCATGGAAAAGAAAAAAAAAAATTACAAATCTTTTTAGATAATTATCCAATGCAAAAGATAGAATCGAATTTTCATTCTGGAAATGGTACCTCTTTTATAGGATTCGCCATGGTTGTGTTTTTGTTTTTGCTCTGCAGTTCTAAGGATTTCAAATTTCCTGGAGTTTTTTTTTTAGATCTTGGATTTTAGGTTTGTTACCTGAAGAAGATGACTATCACGTGACCATCCACGTGACTTTAATCGTATTAAGAACTTTGGGCCTATTGATTATTACAGAGGCCCATTCAATCAAGCAAATCGGAGACTTGATTCATATTTCTCTTTATCAAATTTCGCATCGCATTTAGGGAGGTGTATTGTATAGCTAAGCCAATCCCTGGATATATTTTAAAGCATTGCATAAGAAACTAAATTTTCAAATTTATGTTTCAATTTTTAATTTCTCGCATATTTCATATATTTGGTTAGAAAATACACATAATATATTTATTTTAAATAGTTAACTAATTTTATTTGGGTGTCCTATAAATATTTTTTTAACCAAATATAATGGATGTGCTACAAATATTTTATTTGGGTGTGCGATAAATATTTTGTTTGGGTGCTAATAAATTTTCGTTTTAAATATGTTTCCGTTCAAATCATTATCATATCTCTAACGGTTCGGGAATAATTTATAACGTATAAAACATAATATAAACTTATATTGATTTATCAAGTAAAATTACAATGTAGAGCATTGTGGATCAACAAAGTATAATATTAAATTTGAAATGTTTATACTGCTTAGAAGTTATATCTAGAAGTTAAATTCTAACGGTGCTAATAAATATTTTTTTTTTAAATATCGAAAGTTCAGTAACAAAGGTGACCGTTGTAAACCAGTAAAAAACACGTAATATTGATTGTTACCGTTGCGATGAAGAAAAAAAATGGAAATAATAAACAGAAACGAAATCTCTTATGAATCTGACCGTTGTGAGACATTAATATCAATTTCCTTTCCTTTTTTTAAACTCAAACGCTTCTTCTTCTTCTTCGTTTTGCCTTGAGAGAAAATCAAAACTCTTCTTCTTCTTCGTTCTTCTTCTTCAAAACCCTAAATCCATCAATTTTTTTTTGAATTCCGATGATGATGATCCATCGGAATTATACTTATACATACTCTGTAAAATTCCGATGATGATGATCCAATCAAAGTGGAGAGGCGTATTGAAATAAAAGCAACCCAAGGCGATGATGATCCGTGACATGGCGTTTCTTTTCGTTTCGTTTCGTTTAAATGATCTCCATCGATCTCCTCTGTTCGTCTTCTTCTTCTTCTTCTTCTTCCTCTTCGTTTTGCCTTGAGAGAGAAATCAAAACTCTTCTTTTTCTAAACCCTAAATCCATCAGTTTTTTGAATTGGAGAGACGTATTGAAAATAGAAGCAACCCAAGGCGATGATGATCCGTGACGTGGCGTTTCTTTTCGTTTCGTCTCGTTTAATCTGATCTCCATCGATCTGCTCTGTTTTTCTTCTCCTTCTTCTTCTTCAATCTAAAATCAATAAAGAGATTTCACTGGATATTGAATCTAGCCACGGAGACGAGTTCACCAGAGACTAACTACGATGGAATCCAAAACTGAAGAGAGGAATCGAGCGAGGTATATTCGTAATAGTCCTCTTGTCTTCTTTGGATCTGAATTTGATATCTAGAGTTATATTATTAGGAATGGTTTAGTTAGAGATGATGATGATTTTTGGTGTCTATAGAATGAATACCTAATTTGTAATATAGAGATGTTGTAGATGCTGAAACTTGGGATAAACTTACTAGGTAGTTGTTGGATTCATCACAGAACAGGACAACCTCGTAGAGTTGCAGAGCCAACTATTGGGGAAGAAGAAGTTGGTTACAGCGTCACAGAACTGTGCTTAAGTAAGCATTTGTCTCTCTTAGATTCTCTTCTTTATGTACTTGGTACCTAATCATATGCTACTTAATATGACTAGGTACTTGACTAATGCTATGTTCCTGAGAGAAGCAATGTGTTGATTCTTTTGAGTCAATAGCCTTGTGACCGGGGAATCCATTGTTGGTATCCCAGATTTCAAAGGCAAAGTGCTGCTCACAGGAGAAGAGATTGTACATGCTTTTATACAGAGAAGCGTTTCAGTAATGACTAATGATTGCAGCCGCAGATCTATACTGAAATATTGAGGTCAAACCTTGCAAACACAGTTCTCACATTTTATGTAGTCCCCTGCTCCTGAGACGCTGATGCGAGCCTTAGAAGTTTTAAATTACTTGGGAGCTGTGGATGATGAAGGTTACTTTGACAAAGACAGGTGAGATATTTAGTGAGTGACTGAGTTCCCCTAGTATGCTCATAGTTAATTCTGAATTCAACTGCTTGAAGAAGATTCTCTTAAGTTTCCCATGCTCTCTCAGGTACGCCCTTACTTGCTAGCTTTGGTTAGATAATGTAGTTAAGGGAAGGCTTGAACTTGCTACCAATTTCCATTATACAACTAGGCTAATCTTTCTTCAATACGTATGATCATCATTTAGAGTTAAGTACTAGAGTTAGGTTATCATGAGTAGTCTCTATTCTGGGTTCTGCATAACTAAGTAAGTAATGATGCAGATTAGATAGTAGTTGCAGTTTCTCAGCTATTCTCTCTCATTAAGCTAATGGATCAGTCTCATAGTAGTTGCGAATTGCTTTATTCAGTCAAAGCAGAGGAAGCTAAAGCTAGGTTTGGACACATTGATGGAAGATCACCTCACATTGTTTGAACGTCAAGCAAAACAGTAAGTGATTATCTCTTTGTTTATTGCTGCTTTAGACAACTAACTTGGTCATTGTAAATTCTCACAGATGGATGAAATCTGCAGACAATGTTTAGACAGCAGCTAATCCGAATAATGTCAAGGTTCAACCTGAAGGATGTGCAGCACTAATTTTAACAACTACATCAACATAAGTGGCTCACTTAATACGCACTGGCCATTACTTGACAGCCAAGTATGTCAAGACAAATTCTGTTTATATCGTTGGAGAGGATTATATAGTGCATGAGGTATTAACAGGTTCGTAATACTCATCATCTTTTAATTTGATTTGGAGAATTAATAAATTTGTGTGTTATTCAGAAATCAAGATGACACATCTCTGATTCTCATGGGTTTGTTAGTTGGAAGAAACAGGAAGCTTGCTCCCTCTAGTTTGTGGTTTCAAATTGCAGGTATTATACTATACTTTCTTACATTTTTCTTTTTAATTAAGAATAATGATTTTGATTTAAAAATATACAAAAAATAGAAACTAAATTATGTTTTTTCACTTCTGATTTTTGTGATTTAAAACTAAATATCAAAGTTTTTGACCAAATAATTTTCAAGTAAATAGTTTTAATCTTTAATCAAATTCTTTTTCTTTTGTTACTAGGTGTTAAATTTAAATACGTTGAAAACAAACCGGACCTAGCATCCAGTCTCTTTGTGGTCCGTCAGTTTGGTGTGAAAGTTCAACATGTTTTCACGTATCGTAAATTTAACGCTTAGAAAATTTTAATGCTTTTTATAATATTATTTAATGTAAATTGTTTTGATTTTTACTAAAAATTATCATTATATAAAATGTTATAAAAAATCTAAGTGATATATTTAAATACACTTACACAAACCATAACTTGACCTAGGATGAGCCAGTGCTCCGTCGTTTGGTGTAGTAAAAGTTCAAACTGCTGATAGAAAACGTAGTAGTCCTCCAATAAAATAGGTTTCTTTGATTTTTATACCCAAAGCAGAATATGACCAATCTAAAATTTTCAATTAATTATATATATTATTAAAATGATATAATATCAACTAATTTCATGTTTATATAATATCCAGTAAAATAGGTTTATGGGGTTTTTATACCCAAAGCAAAAAATGACCAAAATATTTTTGAACTGTTGCTAAGAAATTGAGAATTTTTTAGCAAATCTATATTTTTCAGTTAAGTATACAAATTATTAAAATGATATAATATTGAGTAATTTTCTGTTTATCTTTTTTTTTTCCTATGACTACTTTTTCTTTTCTATAATTATTTTTATAAGTTCAGCATACTTTTTGTTAATAACTAATATGACCAATTAGAACATAAATTAATATTACTAAACACAAAATATATGGGATAAATATAAATATGGATCTCTAAAAGGCTCTAACCCGAATTCCCAATCATTCGCGAGGGCACACGGGATACGATCTAACTGGAACCCCATAATTCCGACGAGACAACTAGCCGTCACCTACAACAGTACAACACAATTCCGACAATCGTTTTATCTTGGTACTTAGAGCAAACGCAGCCTTTGGACGTCCTACCAACATTTTTTTTTTTCAGATTTTTTTACAAAAAAAGAAAAAAAAAATAACCATTCGCGGGCCGCCACGTGTCAGTGGGGCCCGCGAATAGTAATTTACGATGGCAAGGGACGTCCAAAATGAGCGTACGTCCCACTAATGTTTAATGTTTTTTTTTTTTTTTCTTTTTCTTCTCGTTTGACGTGAAGGACAGGGGAATTACCCATTGATGCTCATGCCCTTAGTTACACAACCAACAATCTATTCCGTTCCAGCTACAGATTTCTCCCCACACTAATCATCCCGTATAGTCCAACCTCAGCTACGAACCATCCTTCGACTTCTTAAGCTTTCCTGATAATTATTGCCAGAAGCCACACCTACAACACCATTGGTGTCGATGTGTCGTCAATTGACCAACCCAATGTCGGCTCGAGGCCAAGCCACACCTACAACACCATTCCTACAATCGTTTCCCATGAATCATCAACTTCACCACCTTAGCTTTACCGCTATACTCTTGAAATCCCTCGTGATTCACCAACAACCCGTTCCTAACTCCATGATCCATGGAAGCTTGGTTTCAGCTTACACCAAACTCGTTCATTTCACAAACCTACCGTTGGATTATCCAACGTTGTAAATTTACTTTTCCCGTTGTAAATGTCTTTAACGTCCATATTTAGTTATTAATTTTTGAGTGGTTTAAAAGATCAGTATAATACAAAAGGATATACATTTACATATAGCAATTAGGAAATATGGACAAACGAATCTATGGGAAGATACGGTGAAAAATAAGTAAATCTTTCCTTTTCATTAACCTTTAACGGCTAATTACGCAAAATCTATGTGAAAATATGGAAATCGAATCCAAAAAGCGCAAACGCATATCTTTATGAGCGATAGTGAAATATACGTTTTTATTTTTCCTAACCCTAGTAACCAAAAGTATATTTCTCTATTTCACATCTGATCACTTTCATACTTCGTTCATCTTCTTCATCTTATCTTCACCGAGCCAAAGTTTTCGTCTCAGAGATCAACAAGAGAATCACCATGCGACCTTTACCTTCTTCCTCTTCTTGTTCCAAGTCGTCTTCTTCTTCTTCCCTCGCTTCCACAAGTTTGAGCAACAGACTTGAGACCATCTTCACCATTCTCTGTGACATTGAGGTCTGCGTCATCCAAGATGGACCAGACGGAGAACTTCAGACATGGCCTAAGGAGAAATCGAAAGTGAGAGACATGGCTCTGAGGTATAGTCAATTGAACAAAGCCTTGAGACGCAAGAAAAGTGTTAATCTTGATGGGTTCCTAAACTTTATGTTATTGTAGCTTCACTTAGTGCATCACTGCATCTACTAGTAAATTAGGTAAATTTAGAGGTTAATGGGCTTCGAGTGTTTTTGTTTACAATTTCTTTTAACGTCATTTGAATATTAATTAATTAAGAGTTGTTTACAAGATCATCCTCATAATTATGAAATCTGTATAAACCAACGAATCTTTTTTTATAGATGTCATTAATGGAGAGCTAGTGAGGAATAAATGTACATTTTTCCTTTTCATCGAACCCTTAACGGCTAATTTTTGCAAAATCTTTGCAAAGATATGGAAATCGAATCTTTACGACGATTTGTTTCATAGCGATGAGCGAGAGTGAATTATAAACCCTAGCGATCGATGTTTTCTATAAATATATTTCACAAAGTTTCTCTCTGATCACTTTCATACTTCGTTCATTCTCCGAGATCAACAAGAGAATCACCATGCGATCTTTATCTTCTTCCTCATCTTTACCTTCTTCCTCTTCTTGTTCTAATTCTTCTTCTTCTTCGACACGTTTGAGCAACAGACTTGAGACGATCTTCAAGAAAGCTTCTCAGCTTTCCATTCTCTGTGACATTGAGGTTTGCGTCATCCATTACGGAACAGGAGGAGAGCTTCAGACATGGCCTAAGGAGAGAGAGAAAGTGAGAGACATGGCTCTGAAGTATAGTCAACTAAACGAAACCTTGAGACGCAAGAAAAGAGTTGATCTTCATGGGTTCTTGAACGAGCAAAAGCACAAGGGTTTGGAGAATCTGAACCAGAAGAGGATGACGACCAGTCTTGAGAAGAAGCCGGTGGATGTGTTAAAGTATCCAATCTCTGATCATTACTCTCCCAACAAAATCTCCAAACTGATTCAGTCCTTAGAACTCAATGTCTCTAAACTCCAAGAAAGGCTTCGCTTTGTTGACTCGCAGAAACTTCAGAGTTTAGCACCATCCTCTCTGAATCATCAGACCCAATCTTTGAACCCTAGCCAGTTCTCGCTGTTCATGTATAACCATGGAAGTAATACTCTCTCTCAGATCCCAGTCTCTGTATCAAATCTCAATCAGGATTTCACAGCGTTACTTCAAGAATCTCAGTTGAAGAATCAGTTAATGAAGCAAGAGCTCTGTGATTATGATCAGAACATAAACATGAGTGACATGTACATCACCAACAACAGTTTTCAACATCCTTGCGTCTCAAACAAAGAAACAGTACAAGAATCTGTGAATAACTTTGGGTCGATGAATCAGCTGATGCAGAAGGAGTGTAATGGTGGGGATAAAAACTTGTTTACGAGTGATATTACCAACAGCAACCTTCCAGATCATAGTCTCTCAAACACAGTTTCATATGAGTTCTGTTCTGACACTTGTGGTAATAACATGGTCGGTAACACTAGCTTCTCTCAAGATATTATAGATATGTCTTCAAGCTATGATTTTAACTTTGATGAGATGAGTCTACTTCAAACGACATCAACTCTGCCATCTCTCTCCACCATTCCTGACAGCTACCTTCTTTCCAACAACTCGAGCTTTCTATGAATACAAGCAAAACTGTCAATGGTGAAGTAATAAAAGTATGAAGTTGTCTCTTTGTTACTAAAGTCACTCCCAATCACTCCAACCACAAAACCAAATATTACACTAAAATATTACACTCCCAATAATGTAACCTTCTATAGTTAATCTAAAATTAGAGAGCTTTCCCAAATAATTGTAGTCTGCCTAAATTTTCTCATTGCCTCTTCCTTAAAATAGTCAAGAGTATATTATATATACACGCATATAACAAAACATTATCCTCTTCAATCTCACAAAAACCAATCTAACACACAACAATAACAAAATGTTTACAAAATCGATCCTTTTACCTTTTCTTCTGATAATCATCTTCGTCTCATCATCTCAAGGTAGTCGTCAACTCTGGGATAGTGGATTCAGCGAGATGTTTGGATCCAAATCCGGGTTTCATGGGTTTTCCGGGTTCTCATCAGGGAACTCTGGAGTTTCTGGAGGCGGATTCGGATTTGGAAATGTAATGAATCCGACACAAACATGCCCGGCGCAAGGACCTTGTAACGGTAAGAAGCTGACATGTCCGGAGGAGTGCTACAAATCAACCAACGTTAACAAGGATGGTTTCAAAAGCACCAGCCGCAGCGGAGGATGTTCATTTGACTGCACGACCAAGTGTGCCGCGTCCTGTAGTTCAAATTAACAAGTTAATTTTGTACATATATATAACCATGCATGTACTTATATTATGTTGGTATGTTACGTTATAGCACTATATAGTCTATGTATAAATATGATAAAAGGGGCACGTTGTATTGGAGTTTTTGTGTCTTCCTTTGTATGGATCTTGATTAGCAGTTTTCTATTAATCTATGTATATAATATGATTATGAATAAACGAAAAAACTTAGTGTTAATTTCTTATTTTGTGTGAGAGAATCTCTAAGCCTTATACATGACCTGATTAAATAGGAAAAGGTGATCAAGACATGAAAATTAATTAATCATTTTTATAAGACTCTAAATGTACGATTTGGCAGTAGTTGTATACTATTTATAGGAGTTTCATTTTATGTCTTTTTGTGAAGATGAACAAGACATTAGCATCACATGGCTGGCCATATTACGTTAGATTATGTAAAAATATCTCATAAACTATTCATCAGATTCGTACGCATGTTTTTATTATATTCACGTCGTCGCACGAATGTTAAAATTAGTCTCACAAACGTTAATAATCAAAATTAAACGTCCTTTATTAGTGAAACAAAATTTTAGGTTCATTTGAGAGATCCGAATGATTATTATATCCGAAAAAATAGATCTGTTAAATGGTGAAGAAGCAAATAGATCCTGGTAATAACAATAGTAATTTTAATTCTAATTTCTGGATTTAAATATTAATTATACGTATATCTATATACACTAACTTGAATTTTTGCCTCTCAAACATCAATTTTATTTTATGATTATTTAAACCTAATTTATAATTTATAATTGCCAGAATTAAGAAATTATTTAATTTAATCATCATTATTTTATTAGTATTATATATGAGTATGAGCATAACTACACTTTTGTGAAACAAAGGGAGTCCAAAATATTAGTATAGTATGCTTTGAAAAAAACTATCCGCAAAATTCTTAAAATGAAATCTAAGTAGCATGATTTACTATCACAAAAATTATTAGGTTAACTAAAATTAAAGATAATATTGTAGTCTCCCTTAGTTTTCTCATTACCCTTCTTTTAAAATAGCCTTTTCATATTATTCATAGAATCAATTTCACAATTAAACTTAAAACTTTCGGCCTCTCTCTTATATCACAAAATTTTAATAAAATCAGTTCTTACTTTTTTTCTTCGATAAATATTTCGTATATTCAGTTTCTTGTGATTTCAAGTTTTTTCTTAAAATGGTTGAAGGAATGTTTAAAGCTTTTTGGTTAGTTTCTGCCGTCGTGTTTGCGGCGGCTACGGTGGTTTACGGGCAACAAGTGCCGTGTTTCTTTATATTTGGAGACTCACTTTCCGATAATGGCAACAATAATAACTTGAAATCCAAGGCAAAAGTTGACTATTCACCTTATGGTATTGACTTTCCCGATGGCCCGACCGGCCGGTTTACCAATGGCCGCACTATCCCGGATATTATCGGTTAGTTCCCGATTCATTCAATAATCAGTATGTACGTTTGTATATCCTTTTTATATAGTTTTTGAAAATTGTTAAAGACTTAAAGGTTTTCTAAAATCTTGAAAAAAAAAAGAAAAAAAAAATCGTACGTGAGACTTGAGAATTGGTATTCATCAAATTGATACTTTATAAATTAACATTTTATTTGTAAATCATTTTTACACTAATGTCACTAGATCCAAGAGACATGCATGCATGCATAGTCAACTCAAATTTTTGTAGGTTCTATGCAATTTCATTATCGGTAATTGGCATTATCTTACTATATTTGATGTTAAAAAGTTTTTTTTCCTCAAAATTATAGGTCTCAATTTAATTATATGTATATTCTGTTTTATTTTACAAATTTCTTTCTCTCTCTTTTTTTTTTTTTTTTGTGCACCACAAATTTCTTTCTCTTTAAATCATATTTTTATGCGAATGCTCTCAATAATTGTATGTTTGGAAAGACGACTGTGTGAAAAAAAGAAAATATATAATGGTTTTTCTCGTCAGGTGAACTATCGGGATTTGAGGATTTCATACCGCCATTTGCTGAAGCATCACTGGATCAAGCTCACAATGGGATCAACTACGCTTCTGGTGGAGGTGGACTTCGTGAAGAAAGTGGCCAACATTTGGTAAGATGTAAGAACTAGACAAACTTTTAACTAAATTGTTTGGTGATAATATTTCATAAAACTATAATATATACTTAGCTCTAACGATCATATATTCCATGAAAAGTTGTGAACGGTTAACTACGAAATTTTGATGGAATCATTTAGGTTGATCAGTAGTTTTAATGTTTTAGATAACAAAACATTAACACATGAAGGAAAGTTCAAATTATTTATTGATATCTAGCTATATATAGGGAGGTAGACTCAGTCTAAGAAAGCAAATACAAAATCACAAGATGGTGATAACGAAAGCAAAGGTACCAACACAAAAGCTGGAACAATGTCTCTACGTAATCAACATTGGAAGCAACGATTACATCAACAACTACTTCATGTCAGATTTGTACAACACCAAACGACGTTACACCCCTAAACAATACGCATATTCTCTCATTATTATCTACCGTTCTCACTTAGAGGTAAAATGCGGAACCATTTAGATATATATATGTTTGTCATCTGACATAGTTTTATATTAAGATACTCAATAATTCATTGTATATTGATTTGTAATTGTTTTGATTATGCGATGCGATATTGTAGAATCTGCACCTTCTAGGAGCGAGGAAGGTTGCAATTTTCGGACTCAGTCAGATTGGTTGCACACCAAAGATGATGAGGTCTCATAGTGACGGTAAAAGCTGTTCGCGCGAAGTGAACGAAGCAGTGAAGCTTTTTAACATAAACCTTGACGAACTTGTCATGGACTTTAATAAGAGGGTCGAAGGTTCAAAGTTTACTTTTGTCGATCTTTTCTCCGGTGGAGATCCCTTAGCATACTCTCTTTTAGGTATAACCATATTAAACTCATGCATGACTTATTACAAGTTTTTAATCCAACGAATGTACAAGAGTTTTGGTCTCTTAGTCTTCTCTTTTGTTACATAAGAATGTTTTAATTCTAATTTTTTGGTCCGATGGACTAATTTTTCCACGCTCTTGTAATTTGATAGGGTTTAAGGTTATGGACAAGGGGTGTTGCACCATAACCCCGGAGGACGAACTTTGTGTACCGGACGAGCCAATTTGTGCAAACAGGACTGAATATATCTTTTGGGATGATCTTCACAGCACAGAAGCCACCAACATGGTAGTGGCGAAGAGTTCGTTCGACGGACTCCTAACAAAACCGTACAGCATCTCGCAACTTGTAAACGAATAGCGGCTAGCTAGCTAGTTTCTACACATTGACATGAAAATTGATGACGTTCTGATGTGTGTAGATCAACTTTAAGGGAAACTAAATGTGTATATATTACTCATTAACAAAAGTTTTTGTGAGGTTCTCTTTTAGTGGAAAACAAAAAAAATGACATCTTTTTTATATGGATTTAGTTTCATTAACAATGTTGTTAATCATGTTTAACAATTATTTTTAGATTAATGCAATTCTGAGTATATTTTTAGTTTTTATTTGACTAAAACTGTTGGTTAGTCAATGTAGACGGACGACGGTTATTTGTAACAAATTACACCAATCTGATAGAAATCTTTTACCATTTTCTTTCTCTATAGAAAATTATGAAAGCAAACCTAAAAATAACTAGAGATATCAAAGAAAAATCCTAATTTGAAAAAAAAGTACCTTAATATAGCTAAATCTAATGCATCTCTTCTAACCTCTTCGTATATATTAAGTAACCCACTTTTCCTTGTTTTACCACAAACCTAATTAACAAAAACAAAAAAAAAAGAAGAAGGGATCAAACAATATATCGATAAAAATGAAGGCAGGATTGATATGTTTGATAGTGATTTGTGCCGTGGTGATTGCAGAACCAGTAGAGGGTCGGGATTACATAAACTACGGTGCGTTAGACAAGTGCTTCGGTCCTAATCCTCCTCCGGGATGCTATCCTCCGGGTACCGAACATAAGAAGCCTACCCCCGTTAATGAGTACAGCCGTGGCTGCACCAAAATTAATCGGTGCAGGCGCGATTAAATCTGAAGTACATGTCGTTCATCATCATATCCAAACTGAATATTCTTCATATATATATATATATATATATATATATATATCTGAGCTCCGTACATACCTGCTTTACATGCATATACCCTCGTATATGAAAAGTGTTTTGAATTAATTATTGATGGCTTAATCCTCATATCATTGTATTAAAGATGTCAAATATTAATGTTATCACTCTCCCTTTATATTCGACATGCATGAGCTTGAATTTGATGTGGCAAAATATGCAATATTATACAAATAAATATATACTAAAAATGTATTAGCTACTTTCAAAGAAAAAAATCATTATTATATGTCATGTTGAATGAATTTGTTGTTTATATTATTTTTCAAGACGAATTCGTTAACTATATTATAAAATTGCAATAAGGTATATAAGTTTTTCTCTCTATTGAATTTTAAAATGCAACATAAGACTATAAAATTTTGTAAAAAATAAGTAGACAACACAAATGAAGAGAATAATAAAAAATGATTGGTTGTATTTGTATGTCATAATATTCTGTTTTATATAATTATATTATATACATAATGGCCAACTATTATACAGTTAAAGACAACTTTAATACTAACTTTAAATTAATATTGTAAAGTTTGTGAGATGTTACAAAGAAAAAATAAATTGAAGAAATAAAAAGTCATTTGCATTAAGCCATGTGGGCGTATAAGGTGAGAGCAAAAGAACAAAAGGCTCAATGAATCTTTAAGGTTTGGTTAATAATGATTATTCCACTGGCAAAATAAGAAGAAATCAGAGAAAAATAATAAATATCAGAACTTGTAAAGCAAAAATATAGATTTAATTAACATTCGATATAATCTTAAAATCCTAGAAACTTCTCTACAATTTAAATCCTTAGCATAACCTTCTTAAAAACAGTGAAAACGGGATTGATTTATTATTATTATTATTATTTTATTCTATTTTTGTAAAAAACCTGGATTTATATATGATGTTAATTTTTATTTTATATTCCTCATCCATTTATCGATCATATATATTTAAAAACCAACAACTATTGGTTCTTCACGAAGTCAATTACGTATCCTATAGCTACTTTTATACAACTATTTTAAGAAACACCACGATTTCTTTCTATAAATGTTAAGATGACTTGTAATATTCTCATTACAACTCACGTACAAGTTGACATTCGAAGATTTTTCCAACCGAAAAAAAGTTTACTTGCATATAAGTTGATAATTAAAGATCTTCTCGAAAGTCAAAGAATAATTATCCCTTGATTTGCTCGTAATCTCTTCTGTTTCTAGCCTTGAAATAGAATTAACATCTTTCTGTTTCTGTCTATCTATCTTTTTTTTTTTTTTTTGGGTAAATGTCTATGTATCTTTATATATAGAATCTTCTCTTTTCCAATTCAACATCAACATTTTTCAGATTTCTGCTCAATAATTTCCGACAATGGCCGATGGTATTTTCAAAGCATTGTTGTTCGTCTTTGCGGCCACTGCGTTTGCAATGGCCGAGGTGGCTCGTGGACAGCGAGTGCCTTGCTATTTTGTTTTCGGAGACTCTGTCTTCGACAATGGTAACAACAATGCCTTGAATACCTCGGCCAAAGTCAACCATTCACCTTACGGTGTTGATTTTGCTAGAGGTCCTACCGGACGATTCAGCAATGGTCGTAATATTCCTGATTTTATTGGTTAGTCCTCCATATTTGGTTTATCTTTTTGGTCGTAATACTTACAAAAAAAAAGTGTTATAAAAAAATAGTAGCACAATTTTATTTTATTTTTGCCTAGTTTGAAGTTTTGAATGTAGGTATTATTTCGTGAACAAAAAAAATGAATGTAGGCAATTATTTATTGTCATAAGTATAATGTAATGCATAAATAAGTTCTTAAAATTTGTGAATGTTCCTGTTTTGATCAATCAAAACATGAAAATATATATAACTATAAAAAAATGCTATAATTATATCATGTAATTTGAGATACGAGTTTTGAATAAATTTTCTTTCTTTCAGCTGAACTAATGAGATTCAGTGATTACATTCCACCGTTCACGGGAGCATCCCCGGAACAAGCTCATATCGGATTAAACTACGCTTCGGGTGGCGGTGGCCTGCGTGAAGATACTAGCCAGCATTTGGTAAGAACTAGACAATGTTAAACTTACTCATGTATATAAGAACTAGACAATGTTTAACTAGTTTTTTCATGGGTTATTTAATTATTTGATATTGTTCTTTTACACGTTATATATATAGGGTGAAAGAATCAGTTTCGGAAAACAAATAAAGAGCCACCGGGAGATGATAATGAAGGCAAATGTTCCACAAGAGAAACTGAAGAAGTGTCTATACACAATTAACATTGGAAGCAATGATTATCTCAACAACTATTTCATGCCACCTCCATACATGACCAGCCGCAGGTATAGTGTCGATCAATATGCTGATTCTCTCATTCGAAGCTATCGCTCTGATTTGAAGGTACGACTATATATATATATATGCCTAAGAAGCATAGATCATAATTTAATTTTTATACAAATTACTACATTATTTATAATTATCCTTAAGTGCATAATTAAAAGATATATGTTTTTTGTATAGTCATTGTACGTTCTAGGAGCAAGGAAGGTGGCTGTGTTTGGGGTGAGTAGGCTCGGATGCACGCCCCGTATGATTGCCTCACACGGCGGCGGTAATGGCTGTGCTGCTGAAGTGAACAACGCGGTCATACCTTTCAACAAGAACCTCAAAGCACTTGTCTATGAATTCAACAGAAACTATGCTGATGCTAAGTTCACCTACGTTGATATCTTCACCGGCCAAACTCCTCTCGCGTATATCGCCTTAGGTATGTAATAACTATTTACCAACTACCAAAAAATTAGTCCCTATTGTATATACTAAAGTCACAAAGATGCAGTTTGCTTTTGTCACATATATATATATAAAGATTTGATCAATTAGATATTTTCATAGTAACATAACTGCATGCTATTTTAATTTTTTGATTCTTTCATAGTAACATAACTGCATGCTATTTAATTATTTTGATTTTTTCCTATAATATAATCAAATATATGTCATATTGTAGGATTTAAGGTAAGAGACAAGAGTTGTTGTACTGTAAAACCAGGAGAAGAACTTTGTGCGACAAATGAACCAGTTTGTCCGATTCGAAGATGGTATGTGTATTGGGACAATGTCCACAGCACAGAAGCAGCCAATATGGTGGTGGCAAAGGCCGCGTACGCTGGACTCATCGCGTTTCCTTACAGCATTTCTTTGCTCGCATTATGATAGGGGCAATTTCACTACGAAATACATAGGGAAAACATTTTAAAAACAAAATTACATTCTTTTTATAAAGTTCATATATGTATGAATGTTTGATGATTAACATTTGTTCTTTAATTCAATTATTTTATTTAACAAGGAGAATTTGTTTCAAATGGTGAACATTACTTTCTGAAATTTGAAGAGCAAAAACCTGGTAAAATATTTTAGTATCGAGTTTAAAAAACCAAATACAGTGATCAAGTAGATTAAGCAACATAATAAATCATGTAAAACGATCGCATTAATCAATAAGATAAAGGTGTTAGGTTAGATATAATAAAAAATGATTAACCCTCTTTATTACGCAAAATAAAAGTGACTATAAAATAAAGGTGTTGGATATTAGAAAATTATTTATAGGTTGAAGAACAAACAAAATTAATGAATCAATAGTAATTATTAATTAACTAAAAACTGCTCTAGATCAACCGATCTCAAACCTACACTAATTCTTTCTTAAGAAATTAGCCCCTAGAAATTAAATCACCAATTACTAAAATCTCATTTACTCTCTAATCTCTATTAAAACTCACTTAAATCTCCTACAATCCAAAATATTATGAATTCCACAAAATCCTTTAAAATCATGATTTGAACACACCCTCCTATATGCAAGAGTTGTCTTGGTGCTGAATAAATCCGTTAAGCTTGCAATACTTCAGGTGTTATTATAAAAATGTAAATTATTTTCCATACTTGATCTATAGTAATTTCATTATCATGTCATTGTGGTTGTTTTTATTTTTGGTATATAGAGAGAAGACTCTGTAACCAAATCCCTAATTTGATGGGATTTACGACGTCTGTGAACTCTAGAATTTTTAACAAACAACAGCTCATTGTAGAGGTCATCACAATAATTCACCAACATGTCCAATGCGTCGACTTTGCAAACTAATTTTTTTTTCATCAAGTTAAGAAGATATGGTCATTTTATTCAATTAAAAAAGATATTAAAAAAGAAAGGTTCTTCATGAAGCCAAATATACATATCAGACTCAAATCCAAAAATGATTACTAAATAGTGTTTTTTTATAAACCACGAGGTTTCCCTGTCAAGATAACTTATAGTTTTCTCATTACAAAGTTGACTTTTATATATGTTTCCAAAAAAAAAAAAAAAAAACACGATTCACGTTAAGTTCAATAGTGAATCTTTCAAACAAGAAAAATCAAATATTAAACATCCCTGATGTACTCATTATATATCTCTTCTGTCTTGCGTGTGTGTCTCGCACTACGTATGCTTATATTTAGACTTTTCTCCTTACTTCAAAGCTGACATTTTATTTTATTTTTCTTGTTTCTTGGCAAAAAATGGCCGAGGGAATGTTCAAAGCATTGTTGTTGGCTTTTGCCACGGTGATTGTAATGGCCGAGGTGGTTCATGGACAACTAGTGCCTTGCTATTTCGTTTTTGGAGACTCAGTCTTCGACAATGGTAACAACAATGACTTGAACACCATAGCCAAAGTCAACTATTCACCTTACGGTATTGATTTCGCTAGAGGCCCGACCGGCAGGTTCAGCAATGGTCGTAATATTCCCGACTTTATCGGTTAGTCCCAGATTTTTTTTGTATCAATATTAAGTATTTGTACTATTCTTTTGGTATCATCTCACATTTTTCGGTTAGTCTCAAATTGGTTTATCATTTTTGTTGATATTGTTTTGGATGATGATATAAATTACAAAGTTCTGTTTATTGAAAATGTGGCACAACGTTTTCTTTGTTAAGTTTTAAGTGTAGGTATTATTTGTTTTTAGAAATGATCAAATGAAACAATATGGATTTATTAAAAAAATGGTAATTGAACTTTTTTTTACTAGATAACCGAAGTATTTTTTTTTCTCCCCCAAAGGTTTCATTAGAAAGTGTATATAAATGAGTTTCAATGATTTTTTTTTCTTTCAGCTGAACTAGTGAAATTCAATAATAACATTCCACCATTCACCAAAGCATCGACCGAACAAGCTCACACCGGGATAAACTACGCTTCTGGTGGTGGTGGAATTCGTGAAGAAACTAGCCAACATTTGGTAAGAACGGGACAAACTTAAGGGCAAGAGATAACTTAACATGTAAATGTAACAAAAATAATAGCTCTAATTCCTTATATATTCCAAATTAACAAGCTTATAGCTAAGCACTAATTAGGCAATATATATGAATCGATGAGTACATCTTTCCAGGTAACGTATAGATTAATGTAATTGATCACATTAAAGAAAGCTTTAATTCTTTGGATGTCAAATTTTAAAAAGGATTTAGGCTCTAAATAGAAAGCATGAATCACAGAGAATCAAACGCAAAATACTGTATATATGCATATGCATGATGCATTTATTATTGTTTTCACATATTAATTTTTGAATAAAGTACTTATGGATTATAATATATTCGTAAAGGGTGAAAGAATCAGTTTCGGACAACAAATAAAGAATCACGAGACGATGATTGTGACGGCGCAAGTTCCACAGGAGAAGCTGAAGAAGTGTCTATACACAATTAACATTGGAAGCAATGATTATCTCAACAACTATTTCATGCCACCTCCGTACACTACCAATGGCAATTTCAATTTCGATCAGTATGCTGATTCTCTCATTCAAAGTTATCGCTCTTATTTGAAGGTAACTATATATTATCCCTTTTGAATCATTTTATAGAAATTTTACGTTAGGTTTATAATTTTTATCACGCCAACATTTGGAATTTTTTGTTAAATCATTTTTGTTATATATATAGTCATTGTACGTCCTAGGAGCAAGGAAGGTGGCGGTGTTTGGAGTGAGTAAGCTCGGGTGCACGCCGCGTATTATCGCCTCCCACGGTGGTGGTAACGGCTGCGCTGCTGAAGTGAACAAAGCGGTCGAACCTTTCAACAAGAAGCTCAAAGATCTCGTCTTTGAATTCAACAGAAACTTTGATGGTGCTAAATTCACCTTCGTTGATCTCTTCAGCAGCCAAAATTCTATTGAATATTTCTTGTCAGGTATGTACACTAACACTACATATATTTAACTCAGTACTCAATTTTAACCTAATAGGAAACAATTTGCACAAAAAAAAAACATATATTTCATAATAACATATTTTTGTGGAAGATATGACTATACTTATTACAAAAGTTATTCATTACACAACCATTTATGATTTAATTTTATAATTTTGTAGGGTTTACGGTAAGAGACAAGAGTTGTTGTACGGTAGAATCAGGGCAAGAGCTTTGTGCGGCAAATAAACCGGTTTGTTCGGCTCGAGAACGGTACGTGTACTGGGACAATGTCCATAGCACAGAAAAAGCCAATGAGGTGGTGGCAAAGGCTGCGTTTGCCGGACTCATTACGTCTCCTTACAGCATTTTACTGCTTACTATATAATATACACACGTATATCGGGACAACATATTCTAAAAGTATACATGTATATATATTTAAATAAAAAAACAAACAACCCATTGTAAGTCAAATTCATTGTAATATTCTTATTGGAAAACAATAATATATAATTATATGTATGAATTTATTATTACAGTTCAAGAACCAATTAAGTAGTAGAATGCAAATGAAAATGCATAAATATTTTTGTATATGTCATGTATATATAACAACATATAAGCCTAGATGTCTTCATAAAAGTGTTTCTTAAAGGCCTCCATGTGAGCCACTTGTAGACACGTGGCGAGTATCACCGAGCCGTCTTCGTTTTGGTCGGGCAAGATCAGCGAGTCGCCGTCGAAATCATGCGTGCCTGGTCCGGTGTAGAACTCTTTGCCCCATCCGAAGTCAAGGCCGTACATTGGCAAAGTTAACCAGCTTACCAATCCAAGATTAGGGTTTCCGTAGAAAGGACCTTCCGTGCTTCCCATGGCATGTAGGTCTTGAAACTTCTTCAGATCTTCTTGGTTCTTGAGATACTCTATCCCAATCATCACGTATTCATTTGTCACATTCTTTATGGCTTTACTGATTAAACTCGCAGCGAATCCCAATTCATTTGATATCAGTTCACCTATATGCATGATCAGAACATTAACAGACTTTTGCATTGTCGTATTAAAAACGAACCTACCTTCAAGCACAAGAAACAGGGACAAACGAAGTAGCATTACCTGACGTGCTTGCTGCGACCACGTCAAGAGTAGCATTGCCGAAGTAGCCACGTGGAAGAGGTGGCTGCATCCTTCTACGAGTATCAATACAGATTCCTAAAGCCGTAGGTTGCTCACGAGAGTGCCCACGTGCTTTACACGCACACCTCCACACATGTCCCGTGACCGTTTCGTACCTTGTAAACCCTCTCGTTGAGTCAGCGTGTTTGCTTGAGTTTGCTTTATTTCTTAGCTTCTCAAGATGAGATTTGCTCAGTTTAAGCATTGCCACAATCGTTTTCTTCTTTCTCTCTTCTACATTGTCCTTCTCGCCGATCAAAAATGGCGGCTGTTCAAACTCCTTGTGGTCGAACTTTGGTGGCGACGCAAATGGTGGGAGCGGTTCACCAGCCCAGAGGATTTTCCGGTCGAGAAATGGAACGGTTTCTAATGGTTCACCGCGTGCAAGTCTTGCCCATTCCGACATAAAGTGAAGTGCGCTTTGGCCATCGACGATCGCGTGGGAAATGTTAACACTAAGGCTTAATCCACCGCATTTGAATTTAGTAAGCTGAGCTAAAACGAGAGGAATCGTTTCAATAGGGTTTTTGTAGTTTACTTGCGGCATAAGGTTCTCGAACTCCTGCGTGGGAGAGAAGTCTTCGAAATCTGAAAGCATTCCCTCGGATTCAGCTTCGATGAATTCCACTCCCTCGGCGTTACAATTGAGTTCGAACCGCCCCCGAGGGAGCCACTGGAGACGCCCGGCCATAGGGTAGAAATGGACTAGGACACGGCTCAACGAGGTTTTGAGTGTTTCGACCACATTGCCTTGGAAAGATTCAGATGGCTTATCATAGAAATAAAGGGTGGGAATGTGAGTTATTGTACCAACTTGATCCCACTCGGCTAATGGAAACCGACCTGTCCACGTTGGTTCGGCCGGTACTATAGTGTAAGATTTTCTAAAACTTATGGGAGCCATAACACAATAACCCCCTTTCTTTTTTCTCTTCTCTTTTTGGAGTTCGTGCTAAACTAATGTTTATATAGTATATTGAGTCATATGGTTTCATCATAATTTTGTAGCACTTAGTCAAAAATGTATTTCTCGTGGTTTAGTTTGTTGCCTTGGAAGCAGCCTATATAGTGGAAGTGAAAATAAGGTTTATTTTTGTTTGTTGCATGATGATGCGTATTGTTCTTTTTCTCTATTTCCATTCACATTGTCGATGAATATTCAATATTCCATGAAAAGAGAAAAACAATCAAATCTGTATACTGTAACATATATTTTTATACGAGGTATACGAACATATACAACTTATTAGTCTTTTGTATATGATATAGTGAATGAGTTAACATGATAAATGAGAGTTTCTCAAACTAGAATACTAGATGCAGCTCTTTATTAAACTTTTGAGGTTTTCTATCACCGTCAGTTTTGGAAATTAGTGTTTTTTTGCTTATAAACGCGTCAAATTCATATAATTAAACAACCCAATAATCACGAAATCAAATTGTTTTGTTTCTTCTATAGTACTACATATTTTCCCCCCCATACAAGCTTGTTTTCGTCCTAAACTTCCAAGCTGACCTCATTGATGTAATGTGTGTTACTCCGATGATTATTAACGACATCTCTAACCCAACTTTATTATAGTCAAAACTCAAAACTCTACTATAGAATAACATTTTCTTCAACCTTACACTATATTTTACTCTAAACAAGTATAAATCTTTGTGATGAGATTGTTCTTATTTGTCTCTGTAGTCTGTGGCATGATTTTTTGTATGAAGATAATTTTTGTGGTTTTTTGTGTCTCTTTTAGTTTTAGAGTTAATGGTAGTTTATATAAAGGGATATTACCATTAGGCATTAGCTCTAAAACATACATAATAGTATATAATAAAATAAAATATTGAAATATTTTAGTTACTAATATTTTAAAATATTAAGCTTTATATTTTTAAAGGATATGAGAAATAATTAACATATTGAAAAATAAAAATTACAATTTACTTTAATTTGTATATTTTTTAAATAAATACATTTAAAATAATTATAGCAGACGACAGGTTAAATATAATGAATTATATGATCAAATGAATTATAATTATCAGACGATGTGTTAAATATAGAATATGAAAATTATATGATGAATGACATATCAAAATTTTAAAATATAAAAAATTTCTATATAAAATAAAATTTAACATGTGTTATAGCATGGATGATGATCTAGTGTACTACTAATAAGCGTTTTTGTTTACCATACCATTTGACATTTATGACAAACGAAAGTCAAAGTCATGTGTTATAAAATATATTTTTTTTTCAAAAAAAAAAGAAAAAAAAAATTCATGTGTTATTACTTCAAAGCTCAAAATTAATTTATTTATGTTTAAGAGTTTTCTGTTAATCGATCTGCTAAAATTTCTACAAAAAAATTATTTCAAATATTGATTTTATGATTTTGGATCCTATATCTTAATATGTGCATGTTCTCAAGTTGATGAGGAACTTACTATCTTCCGTATCCATATGTGCACTAAAAGAATAATGTAACCTCAAAATTTTGTTGTTCCAAAATGATAAAAAATTTACAAAATTGTGTATATACACCATATATGCTTACACAAAATATTAAAATGATCCAAAAAGTGATATTTATTAATTTAAATAACAATATTAGATTACAATGACCAGTTACTCCTATACAATCTCATGAATAAAATGTCACCAATCATGGTTTTGTCATTATGTTTTAAAGAAAAAAAAAAGATAAAACATAAGCAAAACATAAGCAAAGAAAAAGCGAATTACAAGCAAAATTATGTGTTATGTGTCTTTTAGTTTTATTGGTTGTTATGTGTAATGTGTCTTTTAGATAGATGTTTTCATAGTCTTTTATGTTTCTGAAATATTTTTAACTCACAAACTTATTAGATTTACCAAGGGACTTGTTTCTTAGCTCATGGACCTAGTAACAGGCCAGGAAGTTTTAGACGAGAAGCGATCTGAAGATGATCATAACATTTCCAGTTGGTTCACATCGACAAAGAATCTTTCGGAAAAGCCATTGGCAAAACCATCTAGCTCAACGAAGAGACCCGCATCATCATCGATGAAGTACCTAACTTGCCAGTCAATATTGCGTCGAGGAACTCGCACATAGACCGGACATGATTTATGTTGTCTCTACACTTATCTCACTTATTGTACACTTCAAAAATAAACCAAAACTTTATCTTCTTTCCTCCTTTTTTATATTATGTTTAATATTAAATTTATAATTATCTTTTTTGTTTTTTGTCAATGCAGAAAAGATAGGAGGATGGAAAGACGGAATTTATTTGGAAAATGTCATTGTATCTCGGGATAAAGTGACTATGTATAGAGATAAAGAAATATAGAACAATTGTGTCAAGAAATTTGAGCAGACTCGACCATCCGGAGTTCATTATTATTATATATATAAATTTTTTTAACAAAAATAAGCAAACAATAAAATAAAAATAACCAAAACATTAGAAAATCTTAAATGAATACAAAAAATATAGTATGTCTTTAACTGTTGAGATTTTACTTTATTTATCATAGAAGAAATTCTTAAAAAAAATACATGGAAACAATTATGTAAAAGAAAAAGATATCCACATAACCAATATCATATACATAGATTTTGTTTTTTTTTTTTTAATTAGGAATATTATGGATTTTGTATTGGTTGATGAGGAGGAATGGTATTATCTTTTTTCTTTTTATGTGATGCTATCATGCATTATTAATATGTTTTAGTTTTGAGTATGCCTAAATATCAAACTTAGGAAATATATCCTTAAAAACAAAAGCAAAATAATTTATTTTTATTTTTGTTTGAATAAATTGTAGGAGACCTTTGTCTCCTGCCCACTACAAAAAAAAAAAGCAAAATAATTTAAAATCTAAACTATAACTTTGACTAGTTATATTCTTAATGGGTAACTCGTGGGCCTTTTAAAGCCCATAATGGGTGGTGTATTAATAAACCCTAATTTTTCAAACCCGGCCGACTGAACCTTGACCCAGACCCGGACCCGGACCCGATTGGATCTTCTCTTTGCGTAACCATCTCGATGATCGAGCTTACTTGAGGATTTATTCTTCTTCTTCTTCTTGACCAGAGCTCTCATCACTCACACGAACGCGATAATGGAAGGCGATCAAGAGACTGAGGTTTATACTTTGGTCGCAAGGAAACCTAGCTTCGATCTCCCTACAGCTTGCCCTAATTGTCTTCCCGCTTACATATACCTGAAATTAGCCCAGCTTCCTTTTGAACTTGCTTTCAATTCAACCTTCCCTGATTCAGGTTTCTTTCTCTTGTTTTTGGATTCCTCTCTGCCTCTTTTAATTGTTAATTGTTAGATTAAGGTTTTGGTTGCGTGATGTGTATGTGTTGGAAGTGCTCATTGTTAATTAGCTTGAATTGAATTGAGATAAATTTCAGTTCTCGATTCAGAATTTGAATCGTTATGCTCTTGCTTATCCGTTAATCAGAGTTTGAATTGGGTTTTTTAGGTTATAGTAATTGATGTTTGAACTTTTTGAAGTGTGGAATTTGACATTAGATAACACTGGTCAACTTTTGTGGATACGAAGAGTTTATATTTTCTTCTTATGGCTTTGTGTGAATTGCTCGGTATCCTACTGATTCGAACAGAATAATGTATGTTTTGTTTAGAATGCTTCATGCTTGTGTATTAGAATTTATATACATGTCCAGAAGGAAATTAGTCGTTTGATATTGGTTTTGTATTTTAACATTGGTGCAACGTTGGATAATATCTCCAAAATTAGTCGGTATAATTTGTTTCCTTCGTTTTTTGTTTTATGTGGTTTTGTATAGATGAACTGCCGTACTTTGAAAATGGTACATATGTTGCATATAACAATGAAGATGGAGGAGTGATTGAAAAACTGAAGAAAGATGGGATTGTCAATCTTGACGTTCCACTCCAGACTCTTCCGGAATATTTATCGTTGAAGGCTCTTATTGTGTCTTGGCTGGGAGAAGCTCTTACCTATGAAATATGGGTTGGTACCGAGGGAATATCAACATCGAAAATCTACTATTCTGATCTTCCTTGGGTGATCAGCAAGGCCCTGTTTTATAAGCAGACATACATGGCCAAGAACCGTTTAGGAATCACCAAAGAAACCGCAGAGCAAAGAGAAAAACAGGTCGGCTTTGCTTAAGTTTTGTTGTTAGTTGAAGACATGTGGTTTATATTTGTGAACTTTAGAACTAGCTACTAAAGTTCATAGTCTTAAATGAACAGATATACAAGAGAGCAAGTGAGGCATATGAAGCTCTGTCGACTAGGTTAGGCGAGCAGAAGTTTCTCTTTGAAGACAGGTATTGCAATCACATTGAGGAACTGGATTCTTTTTCTTAAGCCTTTTGTAAATGATTGACAATGTTTTCCTTGTTCTCTTCCCACAGGCCATCTAGTTTGGATGCTTTCTTACTCTCGCACATTCTTTTTATAATCCAAGCATTACCAGTGAGCAGTTTAACAAATTTCCAACAATATACTTTCCACTTATTGATTTTTCCGGTAGTATCTAGCCTCAGAACATTAGATAAAGTAGTTTTATGATGATGAATGATCAGGAAACATCTGCGCTTCGGTGCAAACTTCTGGAACATAGTAACCTTGTCAGATATGCTGAAAAACTCAAGGCAGAGTTCCTCGAAGCCTCTTCTTCATCTCCATCGCCTCCACTGCACTCATTCCCTTCGTCATTTTCAAGAAAGGGTAAGATTCAAACCTTACAACTTCCATATCATGCTCTCTTCTGATTTTGTATTCTACATCTGTCATGTATGCGATATGTTTATGCCTGTAAAGCAAATGAACTCCATCTTTTCTTCAGGTTCGAAGCCAAAGAGCAAACCTAAGGTGGAAAAGACCGCAGAGGAGAAAAAATTCAAGAAAAGAGCAAGATTCTTTCTAGCTGCACAGTTTTTAGCTGTCGTTATGTACTTATCCGTGATGGGAGGAGGTAGTTCCGATGAGCTGGAGTATGAAGATGAAGATGACTAAACTTAAGCTTCTCTTATTAAACGGATCGGTAACTCTTGTGGCAAACTCGTAAACCTCTTCTTCTTAGACTACCATAAAGGAACCAGTAATCTCTGTGCTTTTTTCTTTAACTCTTAGTTAGCGAGAGGATACAGATCTGAGATTAGTCACATTACAATGGTGTTTGTTCTGATGAAGATTCAGTTGGCTTTTATATAAATTCCATTGGTTCAAGACGTGTGTATCAGTAGGTTGGCAACATCAAGGGAACCGGTTCACAGGACAAAATACCGGAATCCGGTATACCATTGTAACCCAGAATTGGAAAACAATTGGTTACATTGTCAAAATCAACTGAACTAACTCTATTTGTCTCATCCATTTCTACACTATCTTCTGATAGCAAAAGATGATGCCAAATATCTACCTAATTCTAAACTCCCTAAAACCGAATAAATTAATTGACAATTAGGAATTGAAATTTACATCCGGTGGCTGCTCCGACGTATCTTCTTCTGGTTGGCTAACAAGCTTTGAGTGTTCATCGGCTGAGTTGATGGCAAACTCAGCAAGTGAACTAACTGCAACAGACATTCCATGGCAGAGAACCTTCACTGCAACCTCTGCAAGTTTCTCAGCAGTCATTACAACATCTTCATCTACCTTATCAGCCACCACAAGGTCCATGCTTTCTGATCCAGAATATCTCCTTGACCCGCTTCCGCTCCAATTGGGATCTTCCCTTACTTGCCTTGCATAGATTGAACCCATTCCTGAGGCAAAGAACTCAAGTTTGTCCAAAACCGGTTTCTCGTTCATGCTGTTAAGCAACCTTGACCATTGGATGCAGACTCGGTATATCGGGTGGGGACATGAGGATAATCTAACTTTCTCGGGGTCAGGATCACATCTGAAACATCTTAGAAGCCAACCAGATAATGCTTTCATATAGGATCTCTGAGATGTGATCCATAATTCGAAACAGGCTCTCCAGTTTCGAAGCTGAGCTTCAAGATTCAAAGCAGATTGAGCTAATCTTTGAGAGTTGATAGCCTCTGGCATTATTGCAGGTTGTCTCTTCTTGTGACGTTTTGAAACTGGCGTGCCTGCAAGTAACAGTTTGGCTTCATCTAGTGTTCGTTTCTGTATCTGGTGACTTTCTGCCATTACTTTCCACATCCTTGTTAATCTGTTATGATCATGCTTACCATTTGTCAGTATGAGGCTTAAAAAGAAACCAAAAAGGAAGAAGAAGTTGTTGGTGTTACCCTTGAACCAGCTCAAGAAGCTGAGGCAACAGTTCTTGGTCACGAAGAGTCTCAATCCTTTTAGAGATGGATTCAATCGAGTGTATTGAGACCTTGATCTGTGTGTCTAAATCTCTGATTGTAGCCCTTGTTTTATCAACCGCAAGCGGATCATCTCCTTTCACGTCCTGATTCCTCAGCTGCATACATTTCTTCTCATATGCTCTTCGAACACGTTCCCCGGACTGTTACAACACGGGAAAAGCCATTTGTTAATAAACAACAGAGATGAAACCGGGATTACAACTGCCACCACTTGCTTAGATCTCTTGTCACTTACCCTAACTTCATCATAGAGCTTCTTCTCCCACGCGAAAAGTCTGTCCAATGTTGTTTGGTGGCTACCCGAAATCATGCAAGACTCATCTGAAACATCGCTTCTGCTTTCAGACCCACTCTCCCTCGAACCACCAGAAGAAGTGATCAAGAATCTTGAAGAGGAAGATCTTGATGAACCCGAGCGGAACAAAGCTACTGGATTCAGCATTTTCCTGGCTACAAAACACACAGAAAACAGGACTTCATTTGTTAGCAAGTCATAAAACAGAGAAAGATTGCAACATTGTATTCATGAACTTACCACTATGGTCATTAGAGGATGATGCATATTGAGCTCTACTAGCTTCCAATAGCCCCGAGACTTCTTTAGCCGCATCACAAATGGTTGTGAACTGATCTTCAAGATCTTTGATTACCTCAGCCATGCTTGTTGGTCTGCGGTTCACATACACCGTGAAACCAGGCGACTTATTATCATGTCTAACACCAACAACATTCTTCATCTCTTGAACCTTCCCTACTCCAACAACATTCCCTGTAGTTTCTCCTCTAGGCACCTCAACTTTTCGCTGTTCTTTCGTTGGAGCAACGCATTTCTCACCCCCCTCATGATCACTTTCACACCCGCTATCTGTAAACTCCGCATCATCATCATCCCCATCATCATCATCATCCTCATCTTCATCTTCATCTTCATCTTCATCTTCGTCCTCATTAACATCTTCAACTTTAACTTCCTCATTGCAACAACTCTTATCGACTTTACCTCTACTTTCTTCAGTTGCCTTCGGATTCGGAATATGACTCTGAAACCTCACAGGTTCAGGTTGATTAGGCTCATCATCTTCTTCCAAGTCAGGAATCCCTTCTTCCTCCCTAACACGTCTCAATCCTCTAATCTCATCATCTATACCACTCCTATTATCAACACTTCCACGATCATAACTATTATATCCGTAATAATCCAAGGACGAAAACGGATTCCAGAAGAAATCCCACTGCGAAGTCTGCGGTGAAGGAGGTGGAATGTTATGACTACTCAACCTTTGCTCAGGAGAGCTCAATGGATTCCAAAACGAAGATGAAGTGGAAGCAGAAGTGTTCATATTCATATTCATATTCATTCCAAAGAAACCATCTGCTTCACCATATTGGTTACTTGGTGAAAATGTCTCAACTCTAAACGTTTCAGGGGACCTCTGCTCAACACGAACAGGTCTGCTTCTATTAGCCATCAAGTAACTAGCTTTCACATTGGACCTTGGCCTACCCTGAATCATTTTCGGAGGAACGGAAGAAGGCGTAATGGAGATGAACTCACCGCTGTTGCTGCGGTTGCGGCGTCTCGGTGGTCTTCTCTTAACCGGAGTGATGAATGAGTCTTGACTCAGAGGAACAAACTCGTTGTTGTTGTTGTTGTTGTCTCCATGGATGATAAAGTCGTGGAGAGCATCAGAGACTTTCCTAAGAGATAGGATATAAGCAATGTGACCAGAAGCAAACTTGGTTCTATGTTCAATCGCTTGTTTGATGAAACGTTTCCTGTCTTTACAGATCTGAACTGCTTCTTCATCATCTAACTTGGAATGAGAACATCCCATTTTCTAAAAGAAAAGCTTTTCAATCCAGAGCTTAAAGAGACTCATACAAAGCTTTCAACTCACATTAATTAACTGAGAAGAAAGATTCTTTGCTTAACATATAAGACAAGAGCTTCTTGAAAACCCTTAAACCCTCTTCAAGAAATGAGTAGAGAATTTGCTATAAAAAAAAAAAGGTTAGATTTTTCATTCAAAAAAAAAAAAAAAAGGTGAGATTTTTACTCAAAAACGACAGATACCCAGATGAGAAATCGTTGTAAAATCTTGGATTTGGTCTTGTGAAAATGCCAAAATAACAAAAAAGTTAAGGTAGTGAGCAAACCCAGTAAAGAAGTAAAAGAAGAAAGAAAGAGAGAGAGAGAGAGAGAGAGAGAGAGAGAGAGAGAGAGAGAGAGAGAAGACAAAACTAAAATAAAAACCTAATTATGGATGGGTCAAAAGAGACTGAAGGGAGCGTGAGGATACACAGTAGAGAGAGAGAGACGTTGGAGAAAGCAACGGTCAAAATTACTGTCGGGATGTGGAAGGAGAGAGAGAGAGAGAGAGAAGTCAAGACTCAATCAAGAAGGAGAAGAAGAAGACAGAGAAAAGAGTCACAAGTAGAGACATACATAGGCAACAAAAACGAACATTAATAAAAAAAAAAATGTATTAACAAAAACGATCATAGTTAGCTTTAATGTATTCATTTTTATAATAGGAGTAAAGGTGAATGGGAAAATAAAAATGGAGGTGGTAGAGGAAGGAAGAGCTTAAAAAAATTTAAAGCTACGGAGGAGAAGAATAATATATTTTGGCTACGAAGCAAAAAGACCGGACACGGAATACGACTTGCTGTTTTGTTTCTATCCTCGCCTTTTTTTTGTTTTTTTTCGGTTTTGCCACTCTCACTCAAATCTCGGTTTTTTTTGTCCTTATACTGTAAATCCACGAAAAATTAACTATGATCTCCTTCATCGATGATATATTAAACTTACATATAAACTTTGTGATCTTAAATTCAGATATTGTTTGACAAGAAAAATAAAATCGGATAGTGATTAATACATCGATGATATTTTGTAGGAATGTATGTCTTAATAAATATTAATTCATATGCAATTAGCAACATGCATAATTTTCTTAGTTTTGTTTACAAAAAAAGATATATAGCTGTGAAGAATTTAGTTTATATCTTAGTCATTATACTATTCTTACGATATTATTGCTAGAAACGACATAATATTAGATTTGACTAGGGTGCACGTAAATTACTTTTACGTGTATGTTTTTCATTTTATACGTTATAAAATATTATAGAAACGACATAATATTAGATTTGACTAGGGTGCACGTACATTATGTCATTATAGTAGCAACCATATTTCTGCATACCAAAATATTGATTTAGTTTCCATCCGTCTCGGACTCATCCCCCAAGCTACACATATGGAATAAACTCGTTGGAATCTTATGTGAGAGCAGAATTGTAATAGGTAAGCAAAGCATGGGGCATTACAGTAACTTGAGAGGCATCACCAGTGGGAAAATACGTTGGAAGAATTTAGGAAAAGCAAATGAAAAAAAAAAAGAAGAAAGGAACCGGCCCTGCCTGAGCATGACCTTGTTAAAGCAGAAAAAAAGCCAGTATTCAGACCCTACCATTCGTAAAGATACATCATGAAATAAAATGCCTCGATACCTGCTCTCTCTCTCTCTCTTTCTCATTTCATCCCTCTGTATCTCCCTTATTCACGAAACAATGCCATTGACAAGCCATCAAGTAGTAGAGAGTTCAGTCTCCCAATTAGGCCCAATGGGTTTTAGTATCACAAGTTCAAGTTGAGAATTAGCCCGTCAGAATTTGTATATACGATTGAGAATGTTCCATTGTGTTGTTTTTTCTACAATGTTTGGTTCTATCCCTGGCCACGAAGCGAATATTCGGAAAATTTGTGATATTTGTGATTTGCTTCGCCTCGACCGAATAGTTGATTTTGCTATTTGCTTCGATTCGTAAATTTTCGAATATTCGGAACTTCTAATATTCGAATATTTTTCGTAATATTTGCGAATTACTTGCTTCGCTTCGCTTCGCTTCGACCAATCTAATTTTTTTTTAAAACTAAAAACATATAGTACATAAATATAAAATGCAAAATATGAGGTATTAGAGGGTTCTTGTTTGACATGTTTTCAAAATAAGAAGAAAATATAACCACTGTCCATAGAATTCTCACATTTTATTTTTAATATTGATTTTTCTAATAAAGTTTTATTTGCTTAAGAACAAAATTTAGCAAAAAAACCAACGGGCCAAAATATAATAATTTGAATAATAGGCCTATGAGATATATACCCAAATCTATAAATACACATATTATATAGTATATAATGATTTATATTTATACATATATATAAATATACGAAGTGAAGCGGATATTCGGCACTAAGAAAATCAATATTTGTTATTTGCTTCGGTTTTTATGAATACCACATTTTCATATTTGTTTCGGTTTAATATCTTATAGATATTTGAATTTTTCGAATCGAAACGAAATGAATATCGAAGTGAAGCGAATCTAACGAATATTTTGCCGAGGGCTATTTAGTTCAACCAAACATATCTTCTTCTATTTGTGTGACATTGCCACTACATGTATTTGACTACTAGGAGTTTTGTTTAAACATTTTTTTATGGTTCATGGTTTTGTGTTAGTGATTGAATGCAAGCTTTTATATTTTAAGAAAATGAAATAAGAAAGTATACATTTAGGTAGGATTTCAATATATTTTAGTTACATATGGGCTAATTATGTTGCCTGTTGATCATCTGTCCACTATATAAAACCTACCTCATCGTGTTTTTCACTGTGTACATATCATTATAAGACACTTGTCTCCTGCCTTTCTCCCCATTTTTAATTTCAAAGACACTTAATTACTCGGAATTATCTCCTTTATATGTATGGTTACTTTATTTTGATACTGAATTGTTACAATCATGGAGTATGTTTTAACGGTTTTTTTTTGTCAACAATGTTTTAACGTTTTATTGCAATTTGAGGTTATTGATTTTGATTACCTATGTTGCCTTGTAATTTGTGGCTTCAACATTGTTCTGAGTGAGACAGGATTTTGATAGTTTTTACTTTGAAATAGAAAATCTTCCCATGCTTAAGTATCAGTTACTATCACTTTGAGAAAATAATCTTACAAATATTGGCATGGAGGGCTGGTTAATTTATTTTACAAAGTTGTAGTTTAAATATTGACGAATAAAAAAATATAAAAGAATTCAGAAAGGATCAATGGTGGTAGTAGAAACGATTAACTTCACATATGTGGATACACGAGGACATAGATAATGACATTTTCAAGATGAATGACCAAAAGTAACTAAACTGATTTTAGTATAAAACTAAAAAGTTTTATCCAATCGGATTCTTTTGGGTTTTGAGTTTTGACGTAGTCATCACTCATCAAGAATTCAAGATGAAAGTGAAATTCACAATGTCAAAAACGTATAGTGGTTTGCTTTGCATCAATTCTATCATATGACTCAAAGGTGAGTGAGAATATCTTATATTCTCAAATCGTTAAACGATATGCTTTTCTTTAATAAAGATATGGTTAGGATCATATTTTACAAATTAAGTATACAATTATTAAGCTTTGACCACCTCATTGGAAATTTAATTAGTTGCATTGCACTTTAATAACCACTTTATTAACTTTTTCCAAAACAAAAACATATATTGACAAATAATAGGTGTCCATTATCATATTTATGTGTATTCTAATGCATCACGATAACATATCCACTGATATTATACTTCATATTCGTGTATTAGTTTATACAAGAAATCAAGAGATTCAAACCCACCTAGGCTTTTAGAAATCTGTTGGCTAGATGCTTAGTTTTAACAATTATACTAAACTCAACTATGACATGAATCCCATAGTAAAAATTGATTTGTTTAATTACTAAAACCTAATCTTAAACTAATTATTTCTCTCACAATTAGATAAATATAATATTGAATGAGAGAGTAATTATTTCAGTGATCGAAATCCGAATATGAAATGTTTCCACTGTATTAATATTGACAAAAACAGTGGAGAAAACTAAAAATAGTAAGTTACTATTCTGAGAAAAAGTTCCAAGGATTCAGGAACTATTAGTTTAATGTATCAGGTGGTAGAACGAATATAAGTACAACCACTTATCGAAACACAACAGAAGTTTCCTTGTTATTACATTCCAATTCCAATTCATTCAAATGTTCTTGCTCACTACTAATACGTGTGTGTATTTTTTATTTTCACCCGCACTATGAATTTTCTTACGCTAATTTTGTTTCCTTTTTCTTACGCAAAATATCCTTATGAAAAAACAGTTTATAATTTATTTTTATTTTACAAAAAGAATTTTATATTTCTTTCATTTTTGGGAGATAAATTCTTCCACCACTTCAAAATCTTTTGAGAAGATATAGTGGATTTGTGTTACTACTTGAAATATTTTACTCTAGACTCTTCGGAATTTCTAAGGTATACACATGTGTGGTTCTTGAAAAAGAAGAAAACAAATCGTTGATAATTTGGTTATTTGTATATTTTACTACTAGACTCTTCAAAACCGTAGGATTTAGCTAATGCGGTTTCGAGAGGAATAAGGTTATTTGTATAAATTGTATGTATAGATGTAATTGAGTGAACATAGAGAAAATAAAATGTTTTTGGAAGTCAAAGCTCGAACACATTTTTTGGTTATTAAAGAACTTAGAATGGATCCTGAAAACATTTCTAGCTAATTTGTCATTCTGTCCGATAAGATTAGATTATTAATGGATAGATGCTTTGCAAATTTACAACATCAAACCTCTCTCTTTCTGTTCTTTTTTTTTTGGGATATATAGTACATAGTTTTAGAAATGAAAACTTTATGAACTGCATTAGCTAAATCCTACGGTTTTTTATGCTTTGCCAAAAAGTAATAATAATCAGGGCAACAAATAATATGAAACAAAAACTGTGAAATCATCATCTAATCCAAAGTTGCAATAAGTTTTCAAACTGTTTCCTTTATCTTCGAGTAGAAATTACATTCCGGATCTCTTTCTCAATCACCTTGAAAATGGTTTGGTGATGTAGAACAAAGTAGTTCTGAAAAACATAGTTTGGCTGCTTCGAGATGTGGTACAATCTGACCTGAGTTGTTATCCTATGGATCAATAGATTTGGTTCTAACATCGAATGCAATACCTCAACAAGATGTATAATTTGGTATTTTAAACAAAATGCCGATGTTGAGATTTTTTTAAATTACTTATTTGAGATTCGTTTCTTAAATAAATATTTGAAAGTCATATTCACAATATGAATGACTAAAATAGGCTGTTTTTACAGCAAGAAGTTCACAAAATGAAATTAAAATAAAAGGAGAATATAATCTTAATAAAGTAGAGCAGTGATTATTCTCGACATAATAGTCTTACATTTAAATAGTAATGTTAGTTGAGATATATATAGGTGAAGTAGAATTAAACTGAATTTCTACTTTTGTATAAACCAGCTTATTTATGCTCAAACATGATTTTATAGATTAGCAAGAAGATACATATCTAGGGAACTTAGCATTTATGAATTTGTTGGAGTGACACTAGCATCCTCACCAACCCACCTAGAGTTTTCCATTATTTGTTTGTGCTCTTCCTCAGTACTACCTATAAACATGGGCCAGACTCACAGATACCATTAGTAAGGATTTGGCTGCGGCTGTATGTGGATCACGAGTCACGACGTCCATTTTTGGTCGATGGGTTCAAAATTTTGTCAAATGGTTGGGCGGTGGTTTGATATTTTAGAAAACTTGTTTAGCTAGTCTTTCACATCACTAATTTTTTGTGTTTCTTGGTAATTAGTTCTCATTCATACCATTAAGTTTTATGATAAACCAATTCCTAACTAGCTAGTGAAATGATTTAAGATCTCTCATTTTACTTATGATGTAAAACTTTTAACACACATCTTCAAGACAAAGGTCTTTTCAATATATCTTGATGAATTTACATGGAATTTAAAAGTGAAACCAATTTATATTGAATTAATTTACTCATAACTTGTATAGTATTCTACATTTCATCTCACTTCCAATATGTTATTCCAAACGTCTACGGTAATATATACTACTTGACGGTGTTGGATGCGTCGGTCTCACCGCCTCCGTGACTCCTCCTCACCGGAGCGATATAAAGACGGTCGCACATCACTTTCATCTAACTTAAGTTTTGTGGTAACGAGAGCATTGCATTGTAATGCACCTAGCTAGTGCTCAGGTGGTTTGGCCAATAGTGGGCCAAGAAATATTGAATAGAGATTTATGTGTTTTTTCTTGTCTAGATTTTTTTTTTCTTTCAAAATTTTCAAGTTTTGACTCATGTAATTTATCTTCTACTATATATCATTCATTCGGTTGAGGTTCTCTAGTTTCTAATTTATAATTCCCTAAATCCACCAACATATTATTTGGAAAGATTATACGATCATTAAAAGAAATTTGTTTAACATGAGTTCAGAATTACTCTATTATGAGCCTATATATGACTTACTCTATTACATTCCATAGGCCATAGCTCATCCATGATATCATAAAATGCATGATCTTCTGCAACTTTTTGTAATCTATTTAATTTAGTGTTTAGTGATTTAAGCCGTATACGTATCTATTTTTCCAAGCATAAGTTATATTATGCAAACCATGTGAAAATTTTATAAGAAAGTATAAAAGATATATTAAAACATAAGATTTCGAAATTGTAGGACAATTGGTGCGTTGCGTCAAAAAAGAATTTATAGTTTAATTGTTTATAAATGATAAAAACTAAGAAATTCATACCAAAAATTAATAATAAAGAAAGCAATGAAAATGAGGAATCACACATGGATTCCATTTTGTGACATTCCACTTTTGAAGGTTTCCACTAAAATTTTGGCTAACTTTGAATTCGTGTCTCTCACTCACGAGATGAAATCCCCATTTGATTCAAGTTTTCGTCTAAACTAATATACAAGCTAGCAATAATTATTGTTAATAATAGTAATTCCAATTAGTAGATATGATGATAGTAATAGTAATCCCTAAACACGTGACGAATCGAACTAGTTTTAGTCCCACCCTACTTTCAAACTAATACTAATTGCTTAGAAGTCTCAAAACCTTTTCTTTTGTAACCATTTTATATAGTAGTAAGAGTTTACCATATGGTAACCCTTAAAAAGAAGATTAGAATATGCATGTAGCTGTATGTTTTGAATATTTACCAACGATCTAATCTCTCAATAATACTTTTTTTTCGTATGCTACCCATAAAACTATTTTTTACAATATACATTATGTATTATTCGCTAGAATATTTGAGTTTCTTTTAATAATGAAAGGGAAAGTACAAAAAAAGTTAGACACATACAATTTTTAGCTTCTCCATCCGAACCAAATACGAAGCCCATCTTTTTCCAAAAACATTAGTCATTTTGCATATATTAAAAATTGATTTGCTTATTAAGAATGTGTGTATTTATGAGTTATGACGTTTGACGAAAATTAATTCTAATATTGTCGACTCAAATTTTAAGTTTAGGATCATCAATCTTTTTGTTATTTTTAAGAGTTAGACTAGTTTATAGAGGATAAATAGTTATCATAAAATAAAGGGACTGAATCTTGAACATAGGGACTGGCGTGAACATAAGTTCTTGAACATAGGAAACTGCCCTGGAAATTAGGAAGGATATATAGGAATTGAATAAAAAAAAAAAAAAAAATAGCTTACGAAACTGATTACATGGTAAAAATAAGTAAAAAATAAAAAACCCCATAAAACCAAGTTATAGTTACAAAAATAACAAATTTCTCCCAAAAACAAAAGTTATAAAGAGAACAAAAAAAAATTAAGAACACAATATATGTTAGGTTTAATAAAGGTTTAAAATACTCCTATTTAATTACTAGTAATTTATTCTTAAATCACTTAGGCATTTAGCCATTTACAGACCTAAAAATTGTGGTTTTTCTTTTTTGAAGTTTTTCGGGTAATTTTGAAATTTGGAACTATATAAAAAAGAAATTGGAACTCTTCGAAAGCAATTAAATAGAATTTACTATCCATATAAAGATATTTATTAAATATTTTTGACAGTTTCAAAATAAATAAAAAGAAAAGAAAACAAACCAATCATCTTTCAGCTAACATTCTTAGTTGTCTGCCTATATAAGCAACTACGACCATTTCCAGATCTCTTCACCTCAAATCTTCTTCTCTATATAACAACACTTCCTTCTCTCACTCCCTCTCCCAAGTCCCAACCTAAGCTTTATTGCAAAATCCTAATCTGTTCGAACCAAACCAGTCCAGTCCGGTCTTTCTTCTGATCAGCTAGCCTTCTCCCTCTTTGCTACTAGCTTTGTTCATCTTATCTCTTCTCCGGTAATTCTTGTTTCTCTTCTTGATTCACATAGATTTCTTGATAAAAGTGATCTAAAACAAAAACACTCTTCTTCTTCTCTTGCATTTGTTTTTTTTTCTTCTTTGCTTTAAAATCATAACGTTTTTTATAAAACAAATGAGAGAATTAGTGAAGATTTTGTTGGCAATCCATATCATAATTAGTTTCATCCTTTAAAAAAGAAAATGAAAAAAGCTGTTTCATGATAATGATATTGATATATCTCCAATCTTCTTATTGACATTTAAGCCAAACACTTCAAAAGTTTTTTTTTGCTTTCTTTCTTTTCTTTTTTCCTCCTCAAGATCAGTAGAAAAAAACTTATAAATTAATTTATATAATTTGTTGTTTTTTTTAATCAGAAAATGGCGTCACAAAACAAAGAAGAATTAGAGAAAAAGAAAGTGAAGAAGTTGCAAAAGAGTTACTTCGACGTTCTTGGAATCTGTTGTACATCGGAAGTTCCCATCATCGAAAACATTCTCAAGTCTCTTGACGGCGTTAAAGATTTCTCCGTCATCGTTCCGTCCAGAACCGTCATCGTTGTTCATGATAGCCTCCTCATCTCTCCCTCCCAAATTGGTAAAAAATCACACTATTAATTAAAAAGTTAAATTATTTAATCACTTCAATTATTCTTTTATAATTTTTATTTTACCCAGTCAAAAAATAGTTTTTAGATCATTTTCACACGAAAATCTCACTTAATTTGGTATTTAGTTTATATTTCTTGAAGTAGTGGTTTTGTTTCACGTCATAGTTTCACGTCATGGTTTCATACGCAAACTCCATTTTTTGGTCACTAATTAGTCAAATATGTGATCCAACAAGTCACTTCAATTTAAAAAGTTTATATATTCTACCACTAATCTTCTTTAAAAAATTGTTTTAATTCAGTTTTCTTAACAAAAGCACTTTATATTAATGTTTTTACTTTGATATTTGTGTTCTGTTCAAGTTGTTGTGTTTTTAACCTAGGAGGTCGCCTAGGTTGAAGCTAAGTCAATTTCAAAATTATTTGTTTTTTTTTTTCATTTTAATTTCCAACAACAAAATAGGATAAACCGTTACTAAATATTCAATTTATTCCATGAAACACGTTCTTTGCATAACCAAAAGATTGTGAATAAATGTTCGGTAAAACACGTTTTAAAAAAAATATAAACGCATTTTAACATAAGAAGGGCAATAATACAAACGATATAGATATGTTTTTTTTATATGTACTGATGTACATAATATAAATTTGGCATATGAAGTTTACCATATTGTTTTTGGAGTATATAACTCACCTAATTAAACATGCATCCGTAACGCATGATACGTGTGTAAGCAATATATTTAATTTGACATCATATTTAGATGAAAGATTTATTAATTTCTAAAAAACGTATACAGGAAAAAAAGTTGTTAGAAAAAGTCTGTCGAGATACTTACCAAATCTTTTGATACGAATATTAATTTAATAGGTAGTGTATCATACTCGTTACGTATCTATATATTTTATAATTTTCATTTGAATCAAATAAGGTTTTAGTTTAAAATTAGGATAATTCTTTGTCTTTTACCCTTATTTGAATCAAAAGTGGAGTAGTTAAATCTTATTCCAGTTTTGTTAATTAATGATTTAAAATTCAGAAAATTTTTTGTCTTTGCAGCTAAGGCACTAAACCAAGCTAGGTTAGAAGCAAACGTGAAAGTAACCGGAGAAGCAAACTTCAAGAACAAATGGCCAAGCCCTTTCGCGGTGGTTTCCGGCATACTTCTCCTTCTCTCCTTCTTAAAATTCGTGTACTCGCCTTTACGTTGGATCGCCGTCGCAGCAGTCGCCGCCGGTATTTATCCGATTCTGGCCAAAGCCTTTGCTTCCATTAGAAGGCTTAGGGTCGACATCAACATTTTGGTCATTATAACCGGTAATGCCACTTTTCCCTATTCTTTATCTTTTTTGTTGTCGTTATTACCACTTTTTGTAGTATTTCACTATCAGCACCTAACATTATACATCTCTATATTTATATTTACTCCGTGACTTAGAGCTAGGTGATGTGTTATATATATAATGATTTGTTTGTTTATGGTTATCCGTGATCGATGTAACAACCATATAGTATTAGTAATCTAAGAACTAAAACTTAGCAAATTGAAGTAAAAGTTAAAAACTATTACTATAATACAATTGTATATGTTAATATATGACTTCTTAAAAATTGTGATCCATCGAGTCTTTTTTAACTCTGTATTTAGCCCTTTTTATGGTACTTTAAAAAAGCTTCCATATAAACTGCTTTTCATGCGAACCCAACACTCCACGAAACCTTTTAATAAAGTTTCTTTTATGTTTTTTTTTCATAAAATAAATAGTTGATTCATATGGGAGATACCACAAGTCCAAAACATATAGAAATTAAATACGTGTAGCAATTTGTATAATCAATTTATGGTGTATAGTAATAGAGTTTCTTTGAGTTATATAGTTACTGAAAAATTTAAACCACTTTATATATTTGCTGTATGTAATGCAAAATTTGAGTTATAGAGTTTATGAAAAGATCAACATGTTGTTTTTGGATATTATGAGGATTTAGGAAAAGTGAACATGCATGTGAAAACACTTGTAAGTTGGTGTGGAAGATAAGCAAAATCAAAAGGTACACTCAAAATATGGGAAAAAGAAGAAGACGCCTTTCTCTTTTCTGTTTACAAAAATATTCAGTTTAGTTTATTTCATGATTTATAATATTATCTTTTATAGGAACAATAATATTTTTAAATCAAAAATTTTCTTTGAGGATAATTTTACTCGTATTTTCTTTGATGATTTAAGAATTTTAAGAATTATTTTATCTTAGAGAAACCAAAATCAAATACTAGAGAGAAAAAGTTAATTATTTTTTTTTGTTAAAGGAAAATAATATAGAAAAATATAATTTTTTTTTTGTCAACAAAATATTATATTTGTCTATATTACATTTTTATTTTCCGTCAATTTTTTTTTTCTTTCCTTATCCAACCTACAGAAATTTCAAACAAATTTTCTAAGAATTTTAGAAAGTCTCGAAAATAAAGTGATATCTTTTTATAATCATTTTTAGGTATATTGCAATTACGTGCCATAGAAGGAAGCACCTTTAGTAGGTTTTGATTGGCTTATCTTTTACAACTCAAAATGGAAAAAAGCATATATAAGACTTTAAACTCATTAAAAGAAATATAAAAACAAAAGTGCATAAAATAATTGAATGAAATGGATCGTCCAAACTCCAAACTCAAAAGTAGACTTAGCCTTGCGTCATTGGGTGATTATGGAACTATGGGGTTAATTTTATTTGTAATTTCACATGATTAACAAGAAAAACATTTATATTATGAATATATATTAATTATACTCGTGTAAATATTTTGTTTCGTTTGGAAAATGTTATAGTTACTTTAAGGGTTGATCTCTTTGATTTTATGAAAACAAATATTGTACTCTGAGAGGTAATGATTGATAATGATCCAATTTCATCAACACAGTGATTGCAACACTTGCAATGCAAGATTTCATGGAGGCAGCAGCAGTTGTGTTCTTATTCACCATAGCTGACTGGCTCGAAACAAGAGCTAGCTACAAGGTTCGTTTAACTAATATATATCATTGTGAAATTTCTTGCTATCTTTATAAATGATTTGAAGTTGGAATTGTAATGGTTTATTAAAGTTCTGATTTATGGCAAGTGTGAAACTCTCAGGCTAGCGCGGTAATGCAGTCTCTGATGAGCTTAGCACCACAAAAGGCAATAATAGCAGAGACTGGAGAAGAAGTTGAAGTAGATGAGGTTAAGGTTAGCACTGTGGTAGCAGTTAAAGCTGGTGAGACCATACCAATTGATGGAATTGTGGTGGATGGTAACTGCGAAGTAGACGAGAAGACTTTAACGGGAGAAGCGTTTCCTGTGCCTAAACAGAGAGATTCTACGGTTTGGGCTGGAACCATCAATCTAAATGGTATGTAGTCCCTTTAAGAATAGCTTCAAGCTTTGTATCTTTCAGTCTTTTGATCTCTCTCTCTCTCCATGTGCTTTTGCAGGTTATATAACTGTGAAAACAACTTCTTTAGCTGGTGATTGTGTTGTTGCGAAGATGGCTAAGTTAGTAGAAGAGGCTCAGAGCAGTAAAACCAAATCTCAGAGACTAATAGATAAATGTTCTCAGTACTATACTCCAGGTAAGCAAAAAACATAACCAGACTTGTTTCTTGGGTTTCTTTATGTTCTTGATTTGCATTGAGACCTGTGTTTCTTGTTTTGTTTTTTTCAGCAATCATCATAATATCAGCTTGCTTTGCGATTGTCCCTGTTATAATGAAGGTTCACAACCTCAACCATTGGTTTCACTTAGCACTAGTTGTGTTAGTTAGTGCTTGTCCCTGTGGGCTTATACTCTCTACACCAGTTGCTACTTTCTGTGCACTCACTAAAGCAGCTACTTCAGGGCTTCTGATCAAAAGTGCTGATTATCTTGACACTCTCTCAAAGATCAAGATTACTGCTTTCGACAAAACCGGGACTATTACAAGAGGAGAGTTCATTGTTATAGATTTCAAGACACTCTCTAAAGATATAACCCTACGCAGCTTGCTATACTGGTAAAAACAAACAAACTTGTGTTCTGACCAAAACCAGTTCGTTGAGATAACTTGTGACTGAGAATTTTTTTTGTTATACAATGTTTCAGGGTATCAAGTGTAGAAAGCAAATCAAGTCATCCAATGGCTGCAACAATCGTGGACCATGCGAAATCCGTTTCTGTTGAGCCTAGGCCTGATGAGGTTGAGGACTACCAGAACTTTCCAGGTGAAGGAATCTATGGGAAGATTGATGGGAACAATATTTACATCGGGAACAAAAGGATCGCTTCTCGAGCTGGTTGTTCAACAGGTACATTAGCTACACAAACTCAACGATATATGTTTTGTAAATTAAATAGGATGATCACTTAAATGTTCTTTCTTGACAGTTCCAGAGACTGAAGTTGATATCAAAGGTGGGAAGACTGTGGGATACATTTATGTAGAAGAAAGACTAGCTGGAGTTTTCAGTCTATCTGATGCTTGTAGATCTGGTGTATCTCAAGCAATGACAGAACTGAAATCTATGGGAATCAAAACCGCAATGCTAACGGGAGATAATCAAGCCTCGGCAATGCATGCTCAAGAACAGGTGAGATTTAAAACCACAGTTTGATTACTCTCTTAATCCAAGAGGTTATTTAAAACGTTGAAATTATTGGTATGAAACAGCTAGGGAATGTTTTGGATGTTGTACATGGAGAACTTCTTCCAGAAGATAAATCCAAAATCATACAAGAGTTTAAGAAAGAAGGACCAACCGCAATGGTGGGGGATGGTGTGAATGATGCACCTGCTTTAGCTACAGCTGATATTGGTATCTCTATGGGGATTTCTGGCTCTGCGCTTGCAACACAGACTGGTCATATTATTCTTATGTCCAATGATATCAGAAGGATACCACAAGCAATAAAGCTAGCGAGAAGAGCTCGGCGCAAAGTTGTTCAAAATGTGTTTCTTTCCATCACTTTCAAAGCAGGAATTCTGGCTTTGGCCTTTGCTGGTCATCCTTTGATTTGGGCAGCGGTACTTGTTGATGTAGGGACTTGTCTGCTTGTGATTTTCAATAGTATGTTGTTGTTGCGAGAGAAGAAAAAGATTGGGAACAAAAAGTGTTACAGGGCTACTACGTCTATGTTAAATGGTAGGAAGCTTGAAGGCGATGATGATGATGTTGTGGACTTAGAAGCAGGCTTGTTGACAAAGAGCGGTAATGGTCAATGCAACTCAGGATGTTGTGGTGACAAGAAAGCTCAAGAGAAGGTGATGATGAAACCAAGTCATAAAACCAGTTCTGACCATTTTCACTCTGGTTGTTGTGATGATAAGAAGCAAGACAATGTAAAGGTTATGAGAGATGGCTGTTGTGGTGAGGAAACTAGGAAACCAGAGGGAGATATGGCTTCACTGAGTTCATGCAAGAACTCGACTTCTCATGTAAAACATGACCTGAAAATGAAAGGTGGTTCAGGTTGTTGTGCTAACAAGAATGAGAAGAAGAAGGAAGTAGCAGCAAAAAGCTGTTGCGACAAACCCAAACAGGAAATGGAGAGTGCTGGAGACTGCAGATCTGGCCATTTCAAGAAGAAGAAGCAAGCTGAGGAAATTGTGCCGATGCAGTTTGTTGGTCAGGCGCTAAATGGTTTGGAAATAGAATTGCAGACGAAGGATGGCGAAACCTGCAAAACAAGCTGTTGTGACAATAAAGAGACGATTAAGGAAACAGGCTTGTTTCTTACTGAGGACACATCTTACCCGGAGCAGGGAGTGCTGATTAAAGATGAAGGAAACTGCAAGTCTGGTTGCTGCGATGGTGAAAATCAAACTGCTGAAGTTACAATTGTGGATCACAACTCACGATGCTGCGAGAACAAGGCGATAGTGAAACAAAGCTGCCGTGAGAAGGTAGCTCAGGACATGGAAACTGGTGGAAGTTGTGATCTCAAGCTGGTTTGCTGTGGTAAGACAGAAGACGAAGTGGGAGAAAAATCTGATATGGAGAGAAAGATTGAAGCAAACTGCAAGTCTGGATGCTGCAGTGATGAAAAACAAACCGAGGATATAACTCTGGCTTCTGAGGATGATACAGACATTCAGGAGTGCTCCTCGGTATGCTGTGTGGTCAAAGAAGAAGTGACACAAAGCTTCCATGAAAAGAAGCATGCTGTGTTGGTAAGGGATGAAGGTTTGGACAGGGAAACTGGTGTATGTTGTGAAGCCAAGTTGCTTTGTTGTGGTAGCATAGAAGGGGAAGTGGAGGAGAAATGTGATATGGAGGTAAAGAATGAAGGTCACTGCAAATCTGGTTGCTGCAGCGATGGAACACAAACCGAGGAAATCACTCTGGCTTCAGAGGAAGAAACAGAAAGCACTGATTGTTCCTCGGGATGTTGTGTTGACAAAGAAGAAGTGACTAGTATCTGTCATGAAAAGCCTGTCAGCTTGTTGGTTGCAGGCTTGGAAACTGAAGGTGGTGGTGATTGCAAATCAAATTGTTGCGGAACTGGTTTGACACAAGAAGGGTCTTCTAATTTGGCCAATGTGGAGAGTGCTCAATCTGGAGGCTGTGGAACAGTGAAAGTCTCCAGCCAAACTTGTTGCAGCGAGAGAGAGACAGAGAAAGTCTATAGCCAAACTTGTTGTAGCGAGAGAGAGACAGAGAAAGTCTCTAGTCAAATCTGTTGCACAAGTCCTACTGATCTGGTATTATCTGACTTGCAAGTGAAGAAGGTTGAGCGTTGCGAGAGCTCAAACAGAGCCATCAAGGTAGAGACCTGTTGCAAAGTGAAGACTGCGGAGGCTTGCCCATCGATATGTAGGGAAAGAGAGAAGCGTCACAGTGGTAAAAACTGTTGTAGGAGTTATGCAAAAGAGTTTTGCGGCCACCGCCACCATCATCATCATCACCACCACCACCATCACCATTTGAGTGTTTGACGGACACTAGGAATGAAAAGCTTAAACTCTTGACGCATCCATCTATTCATATAACATTTCGTCTTGCATTCCATTAATGGTGAAACAAAAAAAAAACAATATATATTTGTTCCAGCGAAGGCAGTAGTATAGATTAAGTAACTGTATAATTTTGTAAGACAATGCCAGTGGTACTTGCCAAATCCTAAATTTTCCTTCTATACTCTCATCTTGATAAGATGCAGATAATGTTGTAAAACAAGTTTGAACTTTGATCTTAAGAGTCTTAACAAACAAAACAAGAAGAAGCAGATGAAACAGATCTCACTGTCTTTCCTTTTGTTTTCCAAGTTGCCGGCCTAATGAATCTTTGGAAGTGAAGGAGAAAATGATGTTACAAGAATATGATTCTTCATTGATCGATGATAACATAAAAAACAAAGGATCTGAGTTTTATATTAAAGGAGATATAAATACTAAAAGATAGTGGATTATATACAAGTTGCTACAACAGTGACCTGTGTGGGTATATGATCTGCTTCCATCTATGAGCTCACTAACTTTAAAGAGAAGCTACCATTAACCAAAACTCATAGCTACAGCCTTTTGTAGTTCTGCTGACCCAAGCCACAATCAAAATCCAAAACCCTCTTGAGAGAGTCTTCAAACTGAGGGTAATTATCAACACGTTCCATAGTTATTGAAACACAAATGCAGCTTCAACGTATTCGCTATGAAGGCCTATGATCTAGACATGACTTCATGTCTACCTCCTCAAGATATCAGATCAAACGTAATTTGAGGATAACTAGCCTCTTCTCGCCAAAGCATATCCAAAAGTTTGCTTCCTCTGATTCCCGTGCTGCCAGGAATCCCTATACCTATCCCCAGACATATCAAAATCATCCAGTGATTGGTCCCTTTGAAATGCTCACTTTTTGCAAATGTAGATGTCTTCAACTTCTCATCATATTCTGGTGGTGCTGTCCCTGAAAAGATCCGATTCTTGGCCCACCTGATCTGAAACCTCTTGCACTAGTTTCCATGGGATTATAACTAGGTGCTTGAGGGATTGGAAAATTCTGCGGAAGAGAGTCCATTTCCTTAAAACAGTTCCTGGCTCTCGCGTCAGCGATCAATGCTCCCCAGTCCTCAGACTTCATTAGAGCAGAGGCATTTCCCATCACCTATTCAAGAAAATAGTTGTTAAAAATAACATAACATATTTATCAAACAACTGTTGTGCTTGGAGAAAGAGAGAGAGAGAGAGAGAGACCATACCCACAGAGCTCTTCTCGCACGGGTAAGAGCAACGTTCATCCGCCGGATATCTGAAACAAAGCCAACCCCGTGACCCGAAGCACGAACACACGACATGATTATGACATCACGTTCTTGACCCTGAAACGCATCTACTGTATTAATATAAATCTCTTTCAGTTCATCTTGTCCCAAAGCATTGCCAAACTCATGCTTCAGGCATTTCAGCTGCAGTTTGTACGGGGTTATAACCCCCACAGAGACTTTTCCCGCACTCAACGACTTTAAAGTTTTCTGAAGATGCATGTACACCCCAACACAGAACCGAGCTTCATCAACATTCTCATAAGATACAGATCCACCTCTATGGGACTCTCGGCCATGGCTAATATTGAAGAAAAGGTAAGGCCTTAGAACAGGATCTTTATGGTAAATCTCATCAGGAGCACTGGATATACTTTCACTGTCTTTGAGGCGTCCTTGGTAGAAGTACCTTGAAGGAAAGTCTCGAATCTGAGGATGCATTCTGTATTGAACATTTAACAACAAAGTCGGACAACCTGCTAGCTGAAACCTTTCAAAGAGACTTCTACTATATAAAAGAGTTCCAGCAGCCTTGCTAATCACTGTTGCAGGTAGCTGCTGAGGATCACCGACAAGTACACATCGCGCTGCACCAAGAGCAAGAGGAGGAAGAACTCCAACCTCACTAGCTTGGGCAGCTTCGTCAATGACAACCATATCAAAACCATGGGTAAGACGAGAAAACAATTTACGACCACTGCTTGATACAGTGGTAAAAACTATTTCAGCCTCGTTTGCAAAACTTGCCTCAAGACTCGCACGAGCTTCTTCAAGATTAAAATTTATACCAGCACGAAACTTTCCCTCCACAATAAGAAAGCGAGACATTTCAACAAGGACTTTATCTCTAGCTTCAACCACAGCAGCAAGGTGCTGCAACAAAGCATCTCTTTTTTGGTCTCTTGAAAAAAGGACTTCAGGGTCAACTCCCACAGATCCCTGAGAACGTGTGACGAAGGCTGCAGCATTAAGTTCCCTTTTAAGCCCAGCTATATCTTGAGAAATCTGAGTTTCTTGTAGTCTGAGGTTATGCATGTGTCGTAGAAGGTCGTCACGAGATATAGCTAATAGCTGATCACTTCTTCGCTCCACAGAAACTGCTTGGGCAGCTCGCGATTGAGAATCAACACCGACTCGAGCAACATCAGGGCGATATACCTTCATCTCCCCATCAATGAAACCACGGTCAAGGACACGTGAAAGAAGTTCATCAGTTGCAGCATTTGAAGGAGCACAAACAAGCATCCTTGGTTTAGCACAGAGTTTGGGCAGGGTGCGTAACAAATTCTGGTCCATGTTTTGTAGGACTTCATCAATAGAGCCTGACAAGATATTATCTGAACTGCACTCATTTGCTTGATTATAGGTCTCAGGTGCTAATTTCTTCAGTAACGAAGTGTAATAGTGTTGATACTGAACCAAATGGATGACATTCAACATCCCCCAAACAGTGTGTGTCTTGCCTGTTCCTGGAGGGCCCTGAACAAGAGTGAATGGCCATAGTTCTTGCTTCTTTCCCCCACTACTAGTACCAGCTGCAGTATGCATGCCCGCCCAGTGGATTGCAGCCAGCTGTGGAGCATTAAAGCTTCTATGTAAATGGTCAACAAAGCTAGTAGTGAAACAATCAGGCATTGCAGGGGTTTGCTCCTCGTAACTAGGAAACTGCTCCGGCCTAGGATTGAGAATGGCATTTTGCATCTAACAAATATTTAAAGTTTCACCAACATCAGCATATTTTAAAGCACCTATAGGAGATCTGTTTGAGAATATAACAAAAAACAACCTGTGGGTTAAGTCGAGAAAACGCATGAAGTGCAACATATTCCCTCTGTGTGGTTGCAAGTGAACCAAGCACTGTTAGATGCCAGATATCCTTAGGTTTAAGCTTCCGTAAAATATGACTATCATCAATCCTGCTGTTAAAATAAAAATTTCCATGGAAAAGAGATGAGAGACTGTAAATATTTTCTTTCACTCTCTGATAGTTAATGAAAAATAGAAGAGTAGAAACTCAGATATAGTATCAACAGAATAAACATACAACATATGTACCTACCTGCCAGCCCCACTAGAATCTCCAACATAGAAATGAAGAGTAGCTCCAAGAGGATCACGGATATCAACTGGTATATGTCTCCTAACTGTACCAGCTACACGTCCAGCATCCTCATGGTCTTCATTTTAGCATAAAGAACAAAAAATGATACAAAATGCACAGAAGCTAGCAATACAGAAACAATCAGACATCAACATATCCAAACATACCTGATTCAGACAGTGGAGTTGAAAGAACTGCGACATCTCCCTCCTTGAAAGCCCATTTACAGCCGTTTAACGAGACAAGTATTACATCATACCACCCTAAACACATAAACAAAGACTAGCAGTCAAGTAACTTAACAGATGCTTAGTGTTTTTCCAGACAGGCAGACATAAAAGGATATGAATAAGGTTGTCAATCCAAAGAGATACAAGAGAGCAGCCTCCACAACTCAAACATACTAGAGAACATAATAAACAAGCAAAATCAAGGGCAAACACTGTTGTTATAAGATAGTGAATCAGGGGAAAAATCATTTTTCTAGATAATCTGTGTGCTTACATAAAAACTTTCTGAAACAAGCAGAAGAAACAAAGTCCAATATGTCTAATAATGAAAAAGTGTCTCCCTGTGCATGCTTACACAAGTGAACATGATCTCAGGACAGTTACCTCTCTCTCTTCTTTCGATGGATTTAATTCGAACTTTCACATATGCATTTGCCTCAGCCAGTTCTTCCCATGTACTGTAAAGTTGTGCCCGGCATTCCTCAAAAAGTAAGGGTTCAAAGACTCTGACATACTCCTCCATAGATTCAAACCGCTCAGGTACACTTTGGAGTTCGGTAACCTCTAATAGACAAGAAAAGTTAAGCAACATGTTTAAATGGGCGAAAGAATACATAATGAGCTAAAAAGGAAGAAAAAATTAAGTTTGGAAGAAACCAGCAAACATCTCCACTATAAAGTTTGGAAAACATATAAATCAAAAAGCGAACTAGTATTCAATATTCACTTCTCACTAATATACCATTCAACTTTTAGATATAGCATCTTCTCAGCTGCGGAAATTTTTTTTCCCAATATAGTTTCGACCAAAGTGCCAGCCTGATAAATAATTTCCATCGACCATGAACCAGGTTTGCAAAGCTAGACTTTAAGTTTCATTTCCTTAATAGGAAGGCAACAATAACAATGGTGGAAATAGATAAGGATGTATCTGCCACAAAAAACTTCTATCAAATTCTATCTGCGATCTTTCTCACAAAAGAGAAGCACGAAATAAAACAAGAACAAGTCAGATCACCAAAGTCACTATAATTCTTAAATATACTTTACAGTACGATTAATTTGTTCCAGCTTCCATATCTTTTGGCTTATTTGATTTCTCCAGTAAATTTTTAAGAGCCATAGGGAAATGGCTTCAGAAGCAGAAAATTTTACTCACATAAAAGTTTCTACCATAAATCAAGATTCACTTACTTCTAAGGAAATAAGGCATATTCAAGAACACGTTCCATATGTAGCAATGTAATATTTAACATACCAGGATGACGCCAGAACTTTTCGTTGGTCACCTCACGTATAAGACGTTCCACTGATGTATCCTGATATTGGGTACTAGTTGTGGCTGGCTTCTTGAAAGATCTTTGGCTGTAAGAGACTTTTCTACTAGATGAATGACCGCTCATAGGCTGCCGTAAATTAGTCGGCTGCTTCCAAGAAGCCTGCCTTGACACAGATGTTCCCATCCCTTCAGTAGAAGGTCCTTCATCCCCGTTGAGCCTCCCAGGCTTACAAAGTAAACTCGAATCTGATTCACCATTACTTTCGAACTTCTGTTCAGCAGACTCTGGATGTATACCGCCCTTAGAAGGAATATTAATTGATTTTTGATCTCCGTGACTTTGAATATCTCCTCCAAGGTCAGGAGATGGATTGATTTCACGGGAGCCTGTAATAACAGGTTGTGCAAAACTCTGTCTCCTCGGAGTGGGTGTCTTAATAGTGCTTGCTTCCTTAACATCTTCCAGATTAAGAAACATGGTCTGCCTATTACGTTTCTTTCCCAACATTGCCTCTTTATGTTGATCCATCATTCTCTTCACAGTGGTATTAGCACACTTAATTGCATGACTTGCTTCAACTCCTTTAAACTCCCTCTGCTTCACCGTTAAACCTTGTTCTTGTAAATCATCTCTACCACCAGTTTCTATCATCCCCTGCTCTTGCGGCAATAAACCCTTGCTCTTTTCAGACTCCATCAAAATCCTCTTCTTCCCTGTCATAGTCTCCAGAAGTATTAGCGTTTGAAGATACAATAACAATCTCTGGTTGATCAAAATTTACATTATCAATTGATCATCTCCATCAGCTTCTATACTAACTTCATCAAGATCAAATAACAGTTTTTTCTCTCGTGAACCCATCTCTTATAAACGTACACGATGGCATAAGTAAAAGACCTGCTCTTAACACCAGTTTATGCAGAGAAAGGTTACAAAACCCAAATTAGAAAGTGAAGCATAGAGATCAAACAAAGGTGCAAAACATTGATTCAGTGACCAAAGTATATACGCAAACACGCTTTATTTATCAAGCGAAGATCAAGAGTCAGGAAACGAACCAGTAACAGAGTCGTCGGCGGCGGTGATGAGAATAGTTAGGGTTTTTAAAATCGTCCAATAGAATTGCCTTACGTTAGCAAAATACTAATCTCTCTCTCCTCCAGCAGAGAGATTGTTCTTATGTCGAGCACGAAAATACGGTTCAATGATACAAATATTTCAATTTGTTTTCCGGTAGATATCGCCGGCGACGGAGACCTGAGGTTTTAAACTTTGCTTCTCTCTGTTTTAGCTCTCGGGGTAGGGGAGAGGATCTGATGGTTTACAGACTACGAGACTTTTTGTGAGATTTGATATGGACCGTTGGATCAATAAATCAGAAGATAATCTGACGGTGTTAGAATACCTGAAAAATACCTGCTTATGTTATGAATCTCTCTGATTTAAACTTAAAAACGCTTTAGACGCTTATTTATAGGGGAGGAACAAGTCTGCGTTACTTTTTTATAATTAGTATTTTTAGATTCTTTTTGTCAATATTATTTTAGGTAAATCATGGGTTTTACCATAAAACATACTTTTTGTGGTTTTTTTTTTTTTTTACTTGCAACAATAGTAATGAGTTTTTCTTGTTTTTGTGTGTGTGTGTGGCTATATCGTATGTTTTTCCAATTGTATAGTCAGTATCATCATATTAGACCACACACTAGTCAAGACGTCAGAGACTTTAATTGTAGTGCGATTTGGGTAAGTTCGTTTTGCTTGAATGCAAACGCATTTATTCACAACACAACGTCCAAAAGACGGCATAATTGAGATTTTGACGAGGTCAAGAGAAGACTCAAAAGTAAGTATTTTTGTAACTTGTTTGACTTTTCTCCAATAAACAAACAAACCAACCACAAATATGCGACATATACTCTTCTCTTTGATCATCTAATTCGCCATTGACAAACCAAACCTCACGGAGTCTTTAAATCTTTGTCTGCCTTTTTAAAAAAAGCAGAGAGAAAGACTCTCTTCATAAATCATATGATCTCTCTCTCTCTCTTTTTCCTCTAAAAGCTTTTTCTTGATGGTTTCCTTCTTCTTGACCCTCTCTTCCCTCTTCTTCTTCCTCTGTTTCTTTGTCCATGGCTCTTCCGCCGTGGATACAATCTCCGGGGACTTTACTCTCTCCGGCGACCAAACGATTGTGTCATCCGGTGGAACTTTCGAAATGGGTTTCTTTAAACCAGGTGCTTCTTCAAACTTCTACATAGGTATGTGGTATAAGCAACTCTCTCAAACCATTCTCTGGGTAGCTAATCGAGACAAACCTGTCTCTGACAAGAACACATCTGTTCTCAAAATCTCTGACGGGAACTTGATCTTACTCGACGGTAATAACCAGACTCCGGTTTGGTCCACCGGTCTCAACTCCTCCACCTCTTCCTCTGTTTCTGCCCTCGAAGCGGTTTTGCGCGACGACGGCAATCTCGTTCTCAGAAGCGGCGGAAACGGCTCATCAGCCAACGTGTTGTGGGAGAGTTTCGATCATCCGGGTAACACGTGGCTCCCCGGAGTGAAGATCCGGTTGGACAAACGAACCGGGAAGAGTCAACGGCTCACCTCGTGGAAGAGTTCTGAAGATCCATCACCAGGTTTGTTCTCTCTCGAGCTAGACGAGTCCACAGCTTACAAAATCCTTTGGAACGGATCGAATGAGTACTGGTCAAGTGGTCCATGGAACCCTCAGACAAGGATCTTTGATTGGGTCCCTGAAATGAGACTCAATTACATCTACAACTTCAGCTTCTTCTCCAACTCCACAGAGTCATACTTCACTTACTCCATCTATAACCACATGAACGTGTCCCGTTTCGTCATGGACGTGTCTGGACAGATCAAACAGTTCTCTTGGTTAGAAGCAAATAAGCAATGGAACTTGTTCTGGTCTCAACCTCGGCAACAATGTCAGGTCTACAAATATTGTGGTTCCTTTGGGATTTGCAGCGAAAAGGCTGAGCCTTTTTGCCGATGCCCTCAAGGGTTTAGCACCAAGTCGCAGAAAGATTGGGACTTGAAGGATTACTCAGCAGGCTGCGTTAGAAATACTGAGTTACAATGCTCTCGTGGAGACGTCAACCAGTTTTTTCCCCTTTCAAACATGAAACTAGCTAATAATTCAGAGGTATTGACGCAAACAAGTCTTAGTATTTGTGCCTCTACATGCCAACGGGATTGTTCTTGTAAGGCTTATGCACATAATGAAGGCTCGAACCAATGCTTGATTTGGGCTAAAGATGTCTTGAATCTTGAGCAACTCGAAGAAGATAACAGTGAAGGGAATACGTTGTATCTTAGACTAGCTCCTTCTGATATTCCAAATGGTTCTTCCGGTAAGAGTAACAAAGCAATGATATTTGGCGCGGTTATTGGCTCGTTAGGAGTAATAGTCCTTGTTCTGTTGGTGGTAATCTTAATCTTAAGGTACCGGAGGAGGAAGAGAATGAGAGGAGAGAAGGGTGATGGTACATTGGCTGCATTTAGCTATAGAGAACTACAGAATGCTACAAAGAGCTTCTCAGACAAGTTAGGAGGAGGAGGTTTTGGTTCGGTGTTCAAAGGTGCTTTACCGGATTCTAGTGACATAGCGGTGAAGAGGCTTGAGGGTATTAGCCAAGGGGAGAAGCAGTTTAGGACGGAGGTAGTGACAATAGGAACGATCCAACACGTAAATCTAGTGAGGCTTCGCGGGTTTTGCTCCGAAGGAAACAAGAAACTGCTGGTATATGATTACATGCCTAACGGTTCTTTGGATTCTCATCTCTTCTTTAATCAAGCTGAAGAAAAGATTGTCCTCGGGTGGAAACTGCGGTTCCAAATCGCGTTAGGGACAGCGAGAGGATTAGCTTATCTACACGATGAATGCAGAGACTGTATCATTCACTGCGATATAAAACCCGAAAACATTTTGTTAGACTCACAGTTCTGTCCCAAAGTAGCTGATTTCGGTTTGGCCAAGCTCGTGGGTCGAGATTTTAGCAGGGTTTTGACGACAATGAGAGGCACAAGAGGCTATCTTGCACCCGAATGGATCTCGGGAGTTGCGATAACAGCGAAAGCCGATGTTTACAGCTACGGGATGATGCTATTCGAGATTGTTTCCGGGAGAAGAAACACTGAGCAATCAGAGGACGAGAAAGTGAGATTCTTCCCGAGTTGGGCCGCGACCATACTCACCAAAGATGGAGACATCCGCTCGCTTCTTGACCCTAGACTAGAGGGTGATGCCGTGGTGGATATAGAGGAGCTCACGAGAGCTTGTAGAGTGGCGTGTTGGTGTATACAAGACGAAGAGAGTCATAGACCAGCGATGAGCCAAGTTGTTCAGATTCTTGAAGGTGTCTTGGAAGTGAATGTACCGCCTTTCCCTAGATCAATTCAAGCTTTAGTGGATACAGATGAAGCTATGGTCTTCTTTACCGAGTCGTCATCTTCATCAAGCCATAACTCTTCACAGAAACACAGCCATTCTTCTTCTTCTTCCAAGAAAACAACCAACAATAACTCTTCCGCCTAGTAATGTGATCTCATATGTTTTATTAATGTGTAATTTAATATAGTGATATTAATGGTAACATAGCATACTGAATTTTCTTCTATTGTAATAATTATTTATTTGTTACAAGTATATATTACAAAAAAAAAATGTTACTAATTTGTGTAAAGTTTGATAGTCTAACTTTGAAATAGAATAAAGAAAAAGACTATGGATTAATTTTCTATGGGAAAATGACTATGAACAGTTTGGATAGAAGAAGTTTGTGACCTGTGAAATGACATTAGTCTAGTGGCAAATGATACTAATTAGTGACCAAATTAGTGAGATTAACATGTTAGTTTGGATGTTAGCAGGGTTTTAAAACTAATTTAGATACAAGAAATTTTGATTAACAGGGTTTTACAAGAATGATAGTAAATAGAAAGGTTTTGTCAATTTTTTAATTTAAAGATCTCCTTACTTTAGATAGAAGAAGTTTGTGACCAAATTACCTTTCAAACTTCAAAGTGACAATTTTTTTGATTAATTAGTGAGATTGATATGTTTACAAATTGATTTGATTTGTAAAAATGACTTAAATTACCCCTTCTAATTTCAATAAATGTTCTTCTTTTTCAATTATTAATAGGTAATTTGGCCATAATTTTGCAATGTTAAAATGTGTACTAGTCTTTTAAATATATAAGAGGATAATTATTAGGTTGGAAAGATGACAACAATTATCAGAAACAATTGATGGTAAGCTCCCATTGATCTTTCGTTTTAAGTGCTCGTAGCTTAGCCACAGCTGTTTCTATCTCCAACTTGTTTCTTTCAGGAAACCCCGTCGTCTTGATCATCATCCTTCTTTTCACAGTCTTTTGCCTTACCAAACACGATACAAACGCAAACTCTTCCTCTGATGAACCGCTGAAGTTATACATCCACAAAGTATCCACGCGAAATTCAGCATTGGGGAACGGCTCTTTGTATTTTGGTGAAGCCTCCTCTTCCCTATGAGCATTGTTTTTCTCCACATATATATACCGTGCCAACAACTTATATCTCAATTCCCTTATATATCTATGTTTAGTTTTTATATATTAAAAAAGAAAAGAAAAGATTGAGACTCATGAGAAGCATGAATGTAAACATACCTTGAATATGATCTCAAGCTCCAACCTAATTGGATGAGTCCATGCAAGTAGGACTTGTCTTAACCTCGAAACTTCTCTTGCATTCATTAAATCTACACTCACTGACATGTATGCAGGAAATGATTTTCTCAACAACGCACCACCTGATTTTATCACATATTCTTCATGCCCAATGCAGTTTTCCTCCTTAATCATATACATATATCAGACACTTTCAATTCTCTATTATTTCTAAAATACATTTATTGGTAACAATATTAGATGTACCTTTGATATGTTGTAGCTGACGTGAGGCAAGCTTATCCTTGCCAAGAATCTACTAAACTGGAGTCCAGGAGACGTGAGGTCAAAGTTATATCTCTCACATGGGAGAACTTCATCGATAGCGAGAATATGCAAACTAGGAGATGTCACTTTAATACCTTCCATCTCACCGTAAGCTGACACTTTCAAGAGCTTTAATCTCTTGTTGTCAATCTTCAAAGGACCACCCTTTTTGAAGCAACCGACGCCTAGTACAAGCACCTCCAGGGAAGGGCAAGATGCGAGGATTCTGTTGAAGATTCCAGCCTCTGAGGCGAATGTAACCCAGAGTTTGAGCGTCTTGAGATTTTGGCAGTCATTGAAGGAATGTGAGGTTCTCAATGTATATGAAAACAGTGAGAGTGATGTGAGGCTTGCAAATGAGAATGAGTTTTGGGGAAAGTCGCGGCAACTATTTTGCCACTTCTCTTCTCCAACATGGCGTCTAAGTGTGAGATGTTTGGTCTGTCTCACACCAGTGAGCGAATCAATCCAAGTATTCAGCATCCCGTTTGTGTAACTGTCGATTACGCAGCTCTCTAGATGTCCACGGTGATTGTTTATAATCTTGTAATAAAAATAATTTAAGACATATGGATAAGAATATCATAACAAGAGATCAGAAGAAGAAGAAGAGAAGTGAGAGAATCAGAGAAGGGAACCTTCGTCATCAGTGGAGCAACCCGTTTAGTAACGTCGAGGGTATTGTTAGAACTGGTAACCTTCTTTCGCATGTCTAAAGCTATATGAGACATGTGCTTCCAGACATGTTCCCATCGTTTGGACACAACGCTCGTCCTTACCGCTTCTTCTGTGGACAGTCTCGACAAGATCACGAGCAATAAATCATTGGGGAGTGTGCTTATCCAATCAACATTTTCGATAGGAACAAATGATGATGATGATGATGATGATGATGATTTCTCCATATGTTATTGGTATATATCCCAGAATAGGTGGCCTGGCCTGTAACACAGAGCTCACACCATATTCAATAACAAAACAAACAAACAGGAGTCCAAGCTATCAAAAAATACAAGTTCTAGCTTAAACTAACTAAATAAATTCTAGGAAATAGTTGATTAGGGATAGTTTAAGAAATAGGTTGTGCAGGATATTCTGATTAAGCAGTGATGGCGTAATCACGTTGACAATATAATAGTATATTTAAGCTCTTGAAAAAAACAAAAAAAAATCAGATCGTGGATAGTAAAAATGTGAGAGATTACCTAAAGAAAAGAATTTTGGAGAAGAAACTATCATAAATCAAGTTCAGAAATTTTAGGAAACCCTAGAACTTACGTGCGAGAGGATACTTTTGACGCTGAGAAGGAGACAGAGAGGGACTTGGGATTCAGATTACCTTAAGGGGGTGTTATTGGTTAGTGATTTATAGAGAGTTTTAAAGACTTCAAATGTTATGCAAAATCAGTTGTTATTCAATCAAGATTTTATTAAACTTTTTTAAAGTTTGGTGTTATTGGTTACTGATTTTTAAAAACTCATTTAAAATCTTTACAAATATGAGGTTATTGTATTCAGATTTATATAAAGTCTTTCGAAGTTTTGAGTTATTCAATTAAAACATAAGAATCTTTGATTGTTAATGAATTAAATTATTATGTTATTGGTTTAGGATTTTAAACACTTTTCTTTACAAATTAAAGTCATGGAAAATATTATCAAAATAGAGAGATTGTTGGAAAGACTTTACAAGATTATAGAAATCAAGTCAACAAGATTACTAAAAAAACTCTCTAACAATCTTTTAGATGATTTCATTTACATACAATCTATGTTTTTTAAAGTCATCAAAATTCTTTATAAGTCACAAACCAATACCACCTCCTAAAACTTTCACTACTTCACCCCCTAAAACTTTCACTACTTCACCCCCAAAAAGGATAAAAAGAAGCAAAAAAAAAAAAAAAAAAAACAGTTGTCGCTAATATAAGTAAAAACCTCCGTAAAGTAATAATGTTGGAGTTTTTAGTTTTTAAAAAAAATATATAATGACATTAAATTATTTATAAATTAAAGTTACTATTTTATACTATAAATTAATTTTTAGAGATATCCTTTTAATTGTTAATTTTTTTCAAAAATAAAATTTAAGAAAATTTTACAATAATAAAGTCTTTAGACATTATTAGTTCTGGAATTGAAAATTTAACATTTATTAGAGAGAAAAAATGAAATCAACAATTACAAAATCTTATTATATAAACCTTAGTTTTCAAAGTCAGCCATTAACAATATCGTGACACGTGTTAACTGAATTGATAAGATGTTAACACGTGTCAGATAATTATTAGTAAGAAATTATTTTAAATTAGTTTCAAAATAGAAAGAAGAAAATAAAAATTCCGGAAATTTAACAATTACTTAGTAGTAATCATTAAGAAAAAAAGATAGTAATTGAAAAATAAATTTATTAATAAAAATTATAAAAATGAGGTCTAAGAAATAAAAAAAAATTAACAAATAAAGAAAAAAATACCATAAGTTAGTCAACTAAAAGTTAATTTTAGAAAATTTTCGCATTATCGTGAATATATGTAATCTTTAAATATTTTTATTTAGTAAGCTAATCTAAATAAGTTTATTAACATGATCCGGGCATGTGTCAATTGTATCGAGATATTGACATGTGTAAATTCAATATATATTAAAATATTTAAAAATCTTATTATATAAAGTATGGTTTTCAAAGTTAGTCATTAACAAGATCATGACAAGTATTAAGTTGTAAATTTAAGATTTTGACAAGTGTTCAAGTTAATTGTTAAAACAAAATTATTTTAATCTTATTATATTAAGTATAATAAGATTTACATAAAATAAAATCCTATTCCAAAAACAGAAAAGGTATATTTACCTAACGCAGTAAGGAATTTGAAATTTATTATTATAAATATGTATTTAAGACTAGCGATATAGTCAGAAAAAAAAAACTTAATTTGGCTATTAAAAAATGAACACCATAAAGACAAATCCAAACACTAAGAAACCGGAAAACCTTCATAGCAAAAGAAAACGAAGTATTTTGAATGATGATCAAATTGCTATGATGGGGAACACACTTACAGATGAATCTCATATACGGTAGGATTTAACTATACTTTATTCATGGATAGACCAACTAAATCAATATTTAAGTAAAATACTCATATAAAGCTTCATATATATCTCCGTATTTATTTTTAAAAATTCATTATCTAACATAGTTTTACAAAATATAGGATCCTCAAGTTACAACGACGCAACTTAGAACATTCACAGGCTTGGAGATAATCGACGAAAAAGGTAGATATCACATACACACACATATAAAACATATATATATATATGTATTATATGTAATGTTTGGTGACTACAATATATTTATTCCCTTTAACGTATTAATGGTTTTTCATTACGTGTTTAGAAAAGTTCGGACGAATCCAACCCTGGAACTCAACAAAAAAAAAAAGGTTCTCGACTCAAAAGCTAAATAATGATAAACGGAAGAAACCAAGAATTGGAGACTGATCTTGTTTTTTAAAAAAAAAAACATACGTTCAAAGACATGGATTATGGATTTTTAATAATATTTAATGTTGGTTTTAAGTCACCTTAGAGATTATAATTAAATTATTACAAATAGACATTAATGATAAATTGTTAGGATTTCATTATGATTTAGTTAAAAATTATTTGAATAACAGAATATTCAATAAATAACGTCAGAATTAAAATGGCTAATTTGTCAACTAACCAAAAAAAAGAGTGAAATATATAGCATATTAACTGAGAAATAAGAAAATAGGATTTAGGGGAATGAAAAATTACTATATTGGTGTTATGATGTTTTGGTGATAATGGTGGGTGGTGGGTAGATGTGGCTGATGGCCGAGGTTGTGGAGACCGGTGGCCGGAGGCGGTGTCGACAGAGATGGTGGCAGAGCCGTCCAAGAGGCCAAGCAAGGCAAGCTGGTGCTTGCGGCCTTTAAATAATATAGATAAAATCGGCCTTAAATTTTGTAAATGCTCTTGTAGTATACTGGTTATGACTGCTGTATAAGTGTGAGAGGTGAGGAGTTCGAATCTGTCTAGCTCCACCTTCCTCTTAAAAACATTTTTCCTTCCTTTTTCAATAGGCCTAAATTTTTTTTTGCTTTCAGCCTTTAAATCTTCAGGGACGGCTCTGGATGGTGGTGGCAGTTGTGGCACCAGAATTGACACTTTGCAACTAGTTGGGCTTTGTACGGCACAGGCGCAGTAAGAATGAATCACGACTAAACCAAAAGGCCCGTCTATGGTCGAGCTGGGAGCTGGGGGAAGAGCAGTTAAGGCGAGATCGTAACAGACGAACTAATGAGTCAACGGAGCTGTAATGAAGATCGCGGGATATCCAGAACGGAGATCACGCCCAGTTTGATTATCTTAGGACCTGTATATATAGGGAATAAGGGATCATTTGTAAGGGGGTCGAAAGAAAAGGAAAGGAATAGACAATCAATAAAAACTAAAGTTCTCACTCTTACATTCGTATTTTGAAAACCAATTTCAGTTCGAGTTCGGGCAAGATTACTCAGTTTCCAACTTAGTAAGTTCTAGAACCACAGGTGGAATCAGCTCCCACATCAGTGGCCGGAGACGGTGGTATCACTGATGGTGGTGGTAGTGGCAGTGGCTGGAGACAGCGACGGTGGCGGTGGTGGCAGTGGCTGTTGGTAGCCGGAGGTTGTGGCTGCTGGTGACCGGAGGCGTGGTGGTCGGTAGCCGGAGGTTATAACTGCTGGTGGCCCAAGACGGCGGTGGTCGACGGCCGGTGGCTGGAGGTGTTGATGGTAAGAATGTGATGATAAATAAGAACACTAAATCCTGAAGATGATAAATTGTCAACCCAAACTCTTAATCATGCAATAGGGTTAAACATGTCAATAACACATGTTTTACAATGAATATAACATCTTAGTGGTTAGAGTAGTCACTCACTTAATTATAGTTTTTTGGAATGTTAATTCTGCTAAAATCTCAATTAAAAACAATTATACATAAACAATGCAAAAATCACTAAAAACATAAAAAAATGAAGATTCATAATAAAAAAAAGTGAAATGGACAACAATACATAAATTAGAAAATAACCAAACCCCGTGCATTGCACGGGTCCATATCTAGTTATATATAAATTCACTTATACAAGCGGGTTTCAGAAGTTATGAATAAAATTTACTAAACAAAAAATATATATGAGAATTATGTTGTAAGTAGAAATTACAATTTGAAAGTAAATGGTAATATTTTTAGTTAAATAAAAAGTTATTTATATATATTCGATTTTGTCTTATAATATACAACAATTTATATTTTCTATATATTAAATTTATTATAACCTTAATATAACAATCTAATAAAGTCAAATTATCACTCACCAGTCACCACTACTTTTACCAAATATCTATACTAGTATTTTTAAGTAAATTTTAGAAATAAAGCATCATTTTCAAAAAAAATATAATGTATATTGTATGTTATGCTATATTCATATCCAAACAACTTTGCAATTAATTTTCTCTACTATCCATATAACCAAATACAATTAAAATATATTAACATTAATTATAAAATTTAAAAATATCCATATAATGTTTTCACAATTAATAATATAGACATTTAGAAGATTTTTTCACTATTAAAAATTATGATTTTCCTATTATCTTTTTTTGATTTTTTAGCACCTTTTTAAAAATGTTCCATAAGGAAACATTTTCAAAAATACTCATTTTTAGTGCAAAATAATAGTTTTACTCTTAGTGATTTAACCTAATTTAGTTATGTTTTCTCTCTTTTCAGAAAACGTTCTCTCTATCACACGAACTCCTTCTCTTCCATCTCTCTTCTTTTCGATCTCAAATCTTAGGGGGGTTGTTGAACTGTGTATTTTAAAAGAATTGGGAACATCAAAAAATGTGTAAGTAACGTCTTAATTTTATTGGATAGAAGTTTGAAAGTTCATAATCAAGGCCCTAGCTTTTCTCTCGGGCACGATCTTCAAGGTAGCCGCCTCAACCAAGGTTCGACCAGAATTTCGACTCTTCCGGCCGGCATCTCTCCCTCGCTTTCTTCTCCTTCTTCCGCTCGCCGTTGCTTGTTGTGTCGACCCTTCCTCCGGCCTCCGGCCGTGAGATTGGGGTCGACAAATCCATCCTCTTCTCCTCCATTGTCTTTGTTCTCACGGTTTTCTTGTTCTTTATTCTTCATTCTGCATCCGATCTCGATGTCTCCTCTGTTTGTCAGCTTGATTAAAAGCTGGGATAGCTTCTTCTTCGTGGAACCACCCAACCTCTCCGTTTTTGGGATGGTGGCTTTTCCGGCGTCTCGTTCTGGCGGATTTGGCGGCGTTTCTTCAACAACTAGTGTCTTCTACCGCTCCTCCAGCCTCCTGAAGCCTCTCTCCCTCGTTAGAGATGTGGTTTCTTGTAGTTCTGCTGGCCAATTTTCTTCTTTCGCCTTGGTGCGATGTCTTACTGCTAAGTGCAGTTGGTGGGTATTGGTCTGTTTCGGTGTCTCTGTCGATGAGTCTCTGACATTCCTCTTCTCTGTTTCTAGCCGCCCGATTTGGAGCTCGAAAGTGATAGTTCCCACCACAAATCTTTCCTATGTTTCCCTTGGTAGCCTCACCGTAGTCATCTGCCGCCTCGCTCTCACCTTGAACTCTATAGGTTGGCTGGGCTTGGTTCAGCCTTTCATGTCCTCTAGTGACATGTATGTAGCCTTCATGCGGGCCTCTCCTGCTGTATGCAGCTTATGGTCTGGTTTCTTCATGGATTCTAGTTGCACAAGATACAAGACCGGCGTTCTCATTCTGTGGCAACATCGGCTCTCACAGTCTCCTCTCTCACATGATATGACGTTAGAAGGTATGCTTTTTGGGACCTTTTCGCCTGTTGTGCAAAGGTCTGGCAGCCTTCTATTAGTTCTCAATTACCTCATTATGAGGATTCATCAAGTTCGATTACCTCAGTATGAGGATGGTATTGGTATTAAGTTTGTTCAAAGCTTTGCTAGATTATATGTTTTATCTCTTAGGCGATGGCATCTTAATATTCAATCTTTGAAAATTTCTGTCCCTAGTTTTGTTGAGTTGTGTGAAGGACCAATTCTTGAATTGTTAGAGTTAGCAGCTAGGCTTTGGCAGAAGGTAAAGCAGCTCCAACCGTCAAAGAAAGCAAAGCTCCCGAAGCCAGAGATCTTGGATATCCATCTTGAAGCCTGCATTAGCTTCTCGGATGACGCGTGGAAGGCGACGTTCAAGCACTGTGGTTGGGCTGGATTTTAAAGAATCAAGTTGCTAGTTTAACTCACCAAAGAAGTATGTCCCGACCCTATGTGTCTTATGTTCTTGTAGCAGAGGCTTTAGCTTTGAAAGCGGCAATCACTGTGGCTTTAGCAATGGCTGTTTTAAGGTTGGCTTGTAATTCGGATTGTCAAGATCTCTTTCTTCTTCGCAATTCCGGTGGCCAAGTTATCGAAGTCGATGGTCTGTTGGAAGATAGCAGTCTCCTCTACTTTAAGTTTCTATCTTTTTCCTTTGTTTACGTATCTCATTCTGTGAACTTTGAGGATGGTTTGCTTTCATGTAACGTCTCCTCCATGAATGGAGTTTGAGTTTATTAATTAAAATGTTGGTTTACAAAAAAAAAAAAAAAAAAAAAAAGAATTGGATGGATTCTGAAATCAATCGTTATTCAATTAGGTATTTTATAAAGTACATTAAAATCCACTGTTATTGGATTATGTATTTGTTTGATGTATTTTAAAATATCTTCAAAACACTGTTATTCAATGTCCAAGTGATTTGGTGTTCAGATTTCATTGTATTTCATTCTAAAAATATGAACAAACAAAATCCAATATATTTTCTCAGCGTATTCCAGATATTTCTATTCCTCCTTCTCTTTCTCTTTCTCCTTCTCTCTCTATTCTTCTCTCTCTCTCTTCTTCTCTCTTAATAAAAAAATTCTGGATCTTTACTCCAGGTTTACTCCAGGTAGAAGCACGAAGGAGGAGGTTATGTTTCTTCTTCATCCGTGACATAGTGTAAAGAAGAAATTAAACAAATCCCAGATTTCTGAAAAATTATAAAAACCAGATCAGAATCAGAAACTACCATTATTCATAGAAAACATTTTTCTAATTGGTTTCTATGGATCTAAGTTTTGATTTACGAAAAAATCATTTTGGCTCTAATGTCAAAAACTTTGTCGATCACTTCATATTGAATTCAAAAAACCCAAATTCTTCTGATTCAAATGATTTTTTATCTCTAGATTTTTCTTTTAGTTTGATTTAACAAAGAATTAGCCTAAATTATAGCATTTTTATTTAACTGGAAAAATTATAAAATCCACTATTTATAACTTTCAAATCCACATAATAATACCAAATCCACGTTCAATGTATTAGAAATCCATCAAATTTTAAAATCCATTTAGTAACTTAAATCCATTAAAAACCTTTGTCCAATAACACCCCCTAAAGTTTCTTCTTCTTTCTTCTCCTCAAATCTTACGGTCATCCATATTCATGAGAGTCTTCATCGAAGTCGTCGTTGGGTTGGGGTCTCGTTGACTGTCAAATTAGGACTCATGTTAGTTGGAGATTTATGACTCTTTAGACTGGTGAATCGAAGAATTGAGGATTTGTGATTTGAAATTGATATTAGAACTTGATTTATGTTAAAGTAAACCTCAAAGTAAGTAGTTACAAATGTGACTCTTCTTTTAGTTACATTGTTTAGGTTTGTGTTAATTTCGGATTTGTGTGTTGATGTTGATGATTGTTAGTGTAACAAATGATGTTGCTTAATTTAATTATTTTGTGTTTTCGTAAATTACTGTTTCTGAGCTTTTTTAGGGTTGTGAAGGATTGAAGTAATATGACTTACTACTTTAACAAAGAAATTTCAATGTATTAAAACAGTTTTAAAAGGATCAAATCATTTTTAGGCATTTTAAAAGGATTTAAAATGGTTTTAAAAGGATTTAAAATGGTTTTAAAAGTAATTTTTAGAGAGTTGTATATGTCTAAAATCTTCTAATTTATGGATGTTTTGTCTCTTGGCATTTCAAATTTATGCTTCTTAGCAATTTTTTTTTTTTTTGTAATCAATGCTTCTTAGCAAATAGATTTAATTGTTAATCATTTTTTTGTATATGTGAAAAGTGTGATGATTAACTTAGAGCTGCTTTCGTTTTATCTACTAGTTGGAATCTACTATTTGATCTAGGTTTAGTTTATTCACAATGTATTGGTTTTTGTTTTGTTATAATGTTTCTTAAACTGTGAATGACAAGCTTTTGTTTTTGGCTTGTGTAGAGAGAAACACATGACCATGAAAGGAAACGTAGTAAAGATAGAGAATAAGAGAAGGACTTGACCAGGCTGCTATTCCACGGGTACAACCTCGCAAGGAACTTACCTCTGGCCCCAGCGTCACCCCCTCCATCTTTCAATTGGAACAAATACATCTGGAACTTAAAAGTTAGCCCAAAGATTAAGCACTTCCTGTGGAAGGCTTCAAGTGGCTCCTTGTCCTTAGGTAGCAATCTAGCAAAAAGAGGATTACGTTCCTCTATTGCTTGTAATCGATGCGGAGCTATGGAAGATGAAACTCATCTGTTTGCCCTCTGCCCTTTTACAAAACTGATCTGGGCTTCAGTTCCTTTGCACCTCCAATTCACTGAGGCCTCAACAGAGAACTTTCAATGTCTTCTGGCAAAAGCACTTGAAGGTGTTCCCCTTCCCCCTACAGGCCTCCCGATATCACCATTAGCGCCTTGGCTCTTCTGGAACATTTGGAAGGCTCGAAATTGCCTCCTGTTTGAGGATCGTCACTTTTCTATCCCTGAGATAATTAGCAAATCAATCCGAGAAGCAAGAGAATGGCAGGCTGCTCAAGTTTCTTGTCAGCCCCAAACTCCTCCCCGTCTGGTGCATCACAGCCCTAATCTACCTGTTTCCTCATCGTTTAAGTGTTTTGTTGATGCTGCATGGTGCCCTTCTTCTAAAGTAAGTGGCCAAGGCTGGGTCCTCTTTGACCCATGCGGCAATGCTCCCAAACACTTCTCAGGAACCCGACAGTTTGTCGCCTCCGCTTTATCGGCAGAAGCTCTTGCGCTTAGGTCTGCCCTACAATCCCTGAAGTTGCTACCAGAGCTTGATGGTGCTGTTCCTTTACAGATCTTCTCAGACTCTCAAACGCTCATTTCAGTGATCAAGTCAAAAGCAAGCTCCAAGGAGCTAACTGCTATCCTCCATGATATCACTTGCTTAAGTGAATCTTTTGTCTCAATCTCCTTCAATTTCGTCCCTCGTAAGGACAATGTTGTTGCTGACTCTGTCGCAAAGTCGGCCCTTAGGACCGTGAACCTTCATATCCCCCTCTCTATGTAACCGCACTCTTTTTAATATAACCATCAGTTTGTCCAAAAAAAAAAGAGAAGGACTTGATAAGGACAGAGAAAGGGACTCTGAATGAAACACTTAATGACATAGAAGACATTAGTTTGTATTTTTTTTTTGTTAGATATGCTTAATGGCATAGAAGACATGCATAAACTTGAATGAAACACTACATTTTTTGGATATGACAATAAAGTTGTGGGGAATGTTTCTACCGTAGTAACTGATATTTAGCATATTGAGAGCTGAAATATTTAGCAGATGAAAGAAAAGACATTTGAAGTTAGTGGACGTGTAGCAAATCAGGTAGTCACAAGTACTAAACAAAAGACATTCATGTATGCGTGTTTTGTTGTGTTGGTTAAAAGTGAAGTAAAACAGATCCGTGTGGGACGAAGTAGGCATGGGAATTGTAAAACAGAGTAAAGAACAGCGCAAGAATTGCTTGACAGAAAATAATAAGTTCACGAGACATTGAATAAAAAGTTTCTTTAAATAACAAAAGGTTGTTATATCAACTCTATGTTCTGCACACCAAAGCCTTCTAAAAGCCAATGTAGAGTTAACTTAAGGACTAACTTTACCAAAAGTTTCAGCCTAGCTCTAAAATTTATCAAAAGAAAAGCACCCTAGTGTGACACTGGCAGTGTCTATCAAAAGAAAAGCACCCTAGTGTCAAATGCATACTCACACATGAAACAGAAGCTGAAATTCGAATGAAAAAAAACTTTATCTTAGAAATAAGTTTTGTACTTATTATTGCAGAAGTTTCGTACTCATCTAGGACATATCACCATTAAGAATCTTTGTTGGCTTGTTAGCTCAAATTCTTGAGTTCTAGTGGTTCCTATGAAAACAACACCAGAATGTTATACCATAACAAATCATTTCTTTTTTGACTTGTTCCTCAGAAACAACAGAAAAAACAAACTTTATCTTAGAAAATAGAAATAGTAGTCCTGTAGACAAAACATCAATCAAAGAAGCATAAATAGAAATCAGTCACAAAAGAAGGTTTCTTTCATCTAAGATAAGAACACACACGTAGACACAAATCAAACAACACATACTCAAACCTCTCTACTGTTCCCATGCCACAGTGCTTAATACCTCCTTAAGATTTTAAAACTTGAATGCTATATGTTCTCGCTCTCTACTGCTCCCATGCCACAGTGCTTAATACCTCCTAAGATTTGTTACATGACTTAATATTTCGACCTCACAGAAAGGTCACAAATGTATAAGTTTATTAAAGACGTGTTACCTGTTCAGTGAATCCACTATGCAACCTTGTATACCAAAACTGCTTCTCTCTCTTTCTCCTACTCAAAAGATGGGATAGTTATCAAAATCAGATTATCTCAGATGAGATTTATATCTGGGAGATGAAGCTTTAGCCTTGGCGATTGACTATGAGTGCGTGAGAGTCGTGACTGTCCTCGTCGATTGAGAAGAAGAGAAAATTGAGATTGAGTTTGGAAAACTTATCCCAAAACGACGACATTTTAAAAATTTAAGTTAATAAAAATAGTTTGGGCCAGCTCCTTTTATACTGTACAGTCCGGCTCGTTTTAAATTCGAAATATTTGTTAAAATAATAGGGCGTTAACCCGAAAATAAGAAGACAAGCCGGGCCAATCTAGGCCCGTTTAACAACCCTAACTATATACACTACTTGCTAAATCTATCGTAAAGTTTGCTTTTTGATTTCACCACTCAAATAAACTAATATAATGTTGCATGTACATGGGAAAGTAATTAAATATATTTGTGTAGAGATTGAATTACTCCAAAATCAAACAAGTATTCATTTTTTTTACGTAATAATTGTGTTTCTTTTTTCTTTACACACAAACACCGAGCAATATTGACCTATAAATTTTCAATAACCTTTAAAACCCTAATTTCAGTCTGTCTAACGATTACTACTATTATTATTAACCCTAATAACGATAATTTTTTTTGTTATTAAATGGATTAATTGGATTTTTAGTACATTTTTGAAACATAATTGTAGAAGTAGTACATTCACTATTCATTATTAGCAAACTAATACATTTTTATTATTTGAACATTATTTAGACACTATTAAAAATCCCCTTAAATCTAATAACTAAACTATTCATCAAAATATATTTGTTTTCTATAAAATTTTAATTACATAAAAATCTATATTTTTTTCTCTATAATTTGATATGCATTTTTTTTAATAATTTCAAATATTTTTCAAACAAATTTTGATACGTCCAGCTATCCTTATGTACAGTTGTGTGTCGATGTACGGAAAATCATCAGTACATCGGTCTATATACACGTATAATTTTATGTGTACAGATATTTTCTGGTCTATGTATGTATATTTGTTTATGTGTAAATATGTTTATTTGTAGTTGTTTCTCTTTATACAAATACTAGGTAATGTCCCGCGCATATGCGCGGGTTGATGTATATTTATTTTATTATTTTAATTTATTTATTACTTATAAAAAATAGATTAAATTAATTTTAATGTTTATGACATTTTTACATTTTATTTATTTAAATCATACAATAGAAGCATACATCCATATCTTTTGAATTTATTCGTTGATTAATTCTTCAATTTTGATAGTAATTTTCTTTAGTGCTTTTAAGTATTTTTTGATAAAACAATAATATTTTTAATGATAAAAATATGAATGATATTTGGAGAATTTAAAAAATACACTTTTAAAAATACCACTTTTTAAATTTACCTCCTTTTCAAACTTTATCAAAACAACCAGTAAAAATGTTAAAATTTATCCATATATGTGTGTAAACTTATAAATATACACAAATTACCTTTATTTGTGTATAAAATTTTATTTATTTCAGTGTCTTACAAATTGGTTTAAATATAACCAAAAATTATTTTGTTAAAATAATTACATACTTTGAAAATAAAATAAATATACATGAATTTGTGAGAAAGAAAAAAACATATAAAGTAAAACAATGAAGATGGTTTATTTAGCTTGATTTTCTTATGGTGCGATGATCAGAAATCAATAATTCTGAATCCCATCGATAAAGTAATTTCTTTATAGCCATAAAATATTATATACATATGTATTATATATTTAATAGTATAAAAACAATGAAAAAATGAAGAAGTACATAAAATAAAGAAGAAATATAATTGAAAACAAAAGTTTTAACCAAATATATAATCAAGATCTTACAATGATATCTTAATTGAGCTTTTAACCCATGCAAGAACATTAAAAATTAAACAAAGAACATATTGAGAATATCATATATGGTGGAGGAGGATGTAAAAATGAGTATTTATAGGATAAAATATGATGTAAGTTATAATTCTAAAATAATTAAATTAGAGAAGTTATAATTATATTTTATAGTGTGTTAATTGAAATTGAATGGAGGAAACAAATAGTCAATTGAAAGGTTATATAGTTTTTTTTGTTCAAAGAAAGGTTATATAGTTTAAGTTACAATTTAATAGTAAAGCGTGGATTTCAAGTATGAATTAAAGTATATGACTAAATGTGTTAGATATTTAGTTTAATTAAAAATAAATATTATGATTAAAAAATAAATGCTAAATGGACCAATAAGGAGAAACCTTAAAAAATTCCCAAAGAATAATTTTCTTTTTTAATTTGATTTTATATTCCTCTTAATTTAAGCTATATCTCTAGGTTTAATTATATTTTTCATCGTTGTAGTATATATAATTGATAGAAAATTGAAAATCAAATTGTTTTTTATATAGGAAATCAAGTATAAAATTCAAAGTTAACAAAAATTATAATGTTGTTTATATTATTACATGTTGAATCACAAACTAAATATAAGGATCATTATTCTTAAAAGAATGTCTTACAAATTGGTTTGATAATTATATAACAAAAAGTTTATTTTGTTAAAAAATTACATACTTTTGAAATTAAAATAAATATACATGAATATGTGAGAAAGAAACAAACATCCAATGTAAAATAATGAAGTTGGTTTCTTTAGCTTGATTTTCTTATAACCATAAAATATTAATATACATATGTATTACATTTAAAAATATAAAAAACAATGAGGACATAAAGAAATACATAAAAATAAAAAATTAATAAAATCGAAAAACAAGTTTAAACTAAATAATTAATCAAACTCTTACAATGATATTTTAAATGAGTTTTCACCCCATGCAAGAACTTTTAAAAAAACAAAGAGAATAATGAAGATATGAGATATGGTAGAGAAGAATGTGAGAATGACTATTTATATGATAAGAACTGATGTAAGTTACATTTTTAAAATAATTAAATTAGAGGAGTTATAATTATAATTTATAGTGTGTTTAATTGGAATTCAATAAAGAAAACCAATAGTCTTTGGAAATTTATATAGTTTTCAGTTTCAGTAGTAAAGTGTGAAACGTAATGTATATGATTAAATATGTTTTTTTGGTTTAATTAAAAATAAATATTATACTTTAAAAAATAAATACAAAATAGAACAATAAAGAGAGTAAAACCTTACTTTTATATATGATTTTAAATAATTTTCCACCAATAAGCCTTATAAAATTTGTTGTATGATATATGATTAAGTCATTTCATTTTCTTTGCCATTTGATTATAACTTATAGTGTAATTAAATTTTGTATTGAATGATTGTCATAAACATTTATTTATTTATTTATTTTGTTGAATGATATATGATTAAGTCCTTTTATTTTCTTTGCCATTTGATTATAACTTATAGTGTAATTAAATTTTGTATTGAATGATTGTCATAAACATTTATTTATTTATTTATTTTGTTGAATGATATATGATTAAGTCCTTTCATTTTCTTTGCCATTTGATTATAACTTATAATATAATTAAAATTTGTATTGAATGATTGTCATAAACATTTATTTATTTATTTTAAAAAAAAATAAAGCCTTAAATATTTTTCCACCAATAAGGAGAGAGTGAAACCTTACTTTTATATATATGATTTGATGTACAATAATATGTTACCGTACAGTTGTATATCTGTACAGATATCTGAAATAGTAAAATTGTACTAGTTTGCTAATTATGAATAGTAAATGTACTAGCTTAACAATTATGTTTCAAAAATGTACTAGTTTGCCAACACACCCTTATTAAATCAAGATATTTAACTTGTACAAAGCAACGCATGAAAAAATTAAATCCATTGCTTGAGAAAGCCGATAGTACTGTCTCTAAACTTAATTCTCCAACTTTTGTTTCTCAATTAGAAATAAAGATGATAGCTAATATCGTGCGTCTCAATTGTATCAATTTAGTCCAAGTAGCAAGTATGCTACGTAACTAAATTTAACCCAAAATGGCAACACGTGAGTGGGTTTGTGTCTCGTTCATGAGTCATGAGTCGCTAAATCTTATTTTAATCAAAGATGAGTTCTGTTCAATGAAAACGAATTTTCATCTCTTAATTTTGTTTATAAATTAGTAAAAGAAAAAAGAAAAAGAAAACAAAATATTGAGTTTATATATATGTAACACCAAAACCAAACGCAACTGATTCCTTTTGACTAATGCATATATACGTAGTTTCAATTACTATATACATAATTGTTTTAATTCATTACCTAAGAAAGATTAAAGTATCTCTTTTCGTTTGGAGTTTGTGAATCAAAAGTGATTGTCCCGTTGGAGATAAAAGTCTGTGTTCAATTCATTTTGTGAACTCAAAAGGCAATGCTAGCTGCGCAATTACCGTGTGGTGAATCGTTCATGTGTCATCACTCATCAAAACATCGATTTATCTACCTATATATCTACTAATTCACGACTCACTAATTGTTATTTTTTTAATTAAGATGATGAGACTGTTATGTTAAAACGAATACCTAGCTACGTGTATGCAAAATTGTACCAAATGTATTTGATTATTAACCTTACGCAACTGATCCCTTTTTGACTAGTTATGCACACCATCAAAAAATGATCTACTCACTCAACTTAATCGAATAACCCAACTTTTGTTTCAATTTTACTATACATTAACAAACATTCATTTAATTTATACATATATTGATCAAATTAAAGTCATGACCGTCTAGAGAGGTGTCCATTGTTTTTTTTTCTGTTAATTACAATGACCCTTAAGACCTTTCCATACACATCACTTACAGAAAAGGGAGAGACTGGTACCGTATACGCAGCTGAACCGGTTTGCAAGTTTTTCTTGAAGGACAATGACGGGTCCGGTTCTCTCTTTTCTATGTTTATGCTTCTACAAAGTCAAGTCCAGTTCAAGACTTGGTACGTATATTTGATATACAAAAATACAAATTCATATAACTATCAAAATATAGCTGAACCGACGTATACAAAAATATTATAAAAGTGTATTGTTCAATGATATTTTTTTTTTTGTTCTCACAGGACACATCTTAAGGATGTGATACTAGAAGGAAAAGATGCATTCAGCTCCGCGCATGGCATGGAATGCTTCGAATACATCCGTTCAGACGAACGATTTGGCGAGTTGTTTAACCGAACAATGTCAGAAGAAACTTCAACCATGATCATGAGGAAGGTTCTTGAAGTTTACAAAGGATTTGAAGATGTAAACACTTTGGTGGATGTGGGAGGAGGACTTGGCACCATTATAGGTTTAGTTACATCAAAGTATCCTCATATTAGAGGCATCAATTTCGACCTTGCTCCAGTTCTAACTCGCGCTCCTTTTATTCCTGGTACAAAACTAATCTTACCATTTCCAATAATATCGATTTCTTTGGAGCATTAGTTTTATCTTATTTTTACGTAAAACAAATTATAGGAGTGGAACATTCAGCTGGAGATATGTTTGTAGAAGTTCCAAATGGAGATGCGATATTTTTCAAAGTAAGGTTTCTATATATACACACCATCATCATGTGGATAGAAATTTTTAAAAAAAATTAACAAGATGACATCAAAATCAAACCTAAATTTACGAGACTTTTTATTTTATTTTTGGTAAATTCAGTGGATACTACATGATTGGGATGACGAAGATTGTGTGAAAATTCTAAAAAATTGTTGGAAGAGTCTTCCAATCAAAGGGAAAGTGATCATATTAGGCATGGTCATGCCAATAGAGCCAAAGAGTGATGATACTTCGTCAAACATTATGTTCGGCATGGATGCATTCATGCTAACACAAACATCAGGTGGTCAAGAGAGAACTCTTTCTCAGTTTGAAGGTTTAGCTTCTCGTTCGGGTTTTATTCGTTGTGAGCTCATTTGTGTAGCCTATTCATATTCTGTTATTGAATTTTACAAATAGATACGAAGTTTGTGAAATGGTATTGTGTGTGCATGTGGAGACTATATAGGTCCTAACTTTGAGAAGCATATATTTATAAGACTATTATAAAAGCTAAATAAACTTTTTCTGTATGTTTATATCCAATGAACAATTATATGTTCCCCATGTTTTATCAACAAAACCTTGATCACTCAAAATCACAAAATAAAAGAGATAATTTTACCATTTTGAACCTACCTATATTAAGAGGGATGTTATATTATGTAATTAGTATAGAATTATGTATAGTTTGCTAATTACATTAGAGTATTTAGGTTTACTCATTTGTAAGTATAAGAAGGCTTTAGCCGCACAACATGAATAACAACAAAACCTTTATACAAAGCTGGTTTTGACATGGTATCAGAGCAGAGCCTAAGAGTTTAGGTGTTACGATCCTCTTTGATTTCCTTCTGTGATTTCTTTCCTTACTTTCCTTGACCTTAGTATTCTTCGATCTATTCTTATCGAGATACTCTCTTCATTATGGCTGATGATTCATCTGTTACAAAAGAATCACGTGTAAGGATGGAATCGACTCGCAGAAGAATTGATCCATATGATCTCTCAGCCGGAGATAATCCAGGTTCGATTATCTCCCAGCCACAGCTCCGTGGATCCAACTATGATGAATGGGCGATGAATTTGAGACTTGCCTTGAGGGCAAGAAAGAAGTTTGGATTTGCAGACGGTTCTATTCCTCAACCTGCTGCAGACTCAGATGACCTTGAAGATTGGTGGGCCAACAACGCGATGGTGGTGTCTTGGATTCGTCTCACGGTGGCTCCGGACCTCAGCAGTTCGTTGTCTCATCATGAGATTGCTCACGACCTTTGGAAGCAAATACAGAAACGTTTTTCTGTTAAAAATGGACAACGTGTTCAGCGGCTTAAAACTGAACTTGCGACTTGTCAGCAACGTGGAATGGCTATTGAGGCATACTACGGAAAACTGACCAAGTTGTGGATGAGTTTGGCGGATTTTCAGCAAGCAAAAACTGCTGAAGAGATTGCCAAGGAAAGGGAGGAGGACAAGCTTCATCAGTTTTTAATGGGACTTGATGAGTCTGTATTTGGGGCTGTCAAATCTTCGCTCCTCTCACGCGATCCTCTTCCATCTTTGGATGAGGCATACCAAGTCGTGGCTCAAGATGAAGACTCTAAGAAGACGGGTCGGATGTTTGAAGAACGACATGAAGCAATGAGTTTTGCGGTTCAAACAAATACTCGTTCTCGTTCTACTAATGATGTTAAGGATCCAAATGTGGTTTGTGCGAGTTGTGGCCGGAATGGTCATACGGCCGATAATTGTTTTCGGAAGATTGGTTACCCTTGGTGGTGGGGAGATCGTCCTCGTTCTAAGTCTGTGACGTCGCAGCAAGGTTCTTCTAGTGGTGATCGTCGCAGTCCGACGTCTCCAGCCCAGCCATCGTCGTCTGTGTCTCAACATGTGAAACGGACTGAACCTGCTCGTGCGAATAAGGTCACCGTGTCTACGCCTGTGGTTGCTGCTCACACGTTTATCACCGATGCTGATCGTATTGGTTTTAGTGGTTTGAGTGACTTGGATTGGAAGACTTTGCGTACTGTTCTCAATGAGAGGAAGAGTGAGTCCCATGAGCATCTCTCTGGTAAGTTTTTCATTGAATCATGGATTATTGATACCGGGGCTTCGAATCACATGACGGGTAATGTTGAATATTTGATGGATGTGAGAGATATGGCTCCTATGTTTATTAAATTACCAGATGGTCGTCTTACTGTGACAACTAAGCAAGGCAATGTACAATTAGGCTCTCAACTTCAGCTTCACAATGTGTTCTTTGTTGATGAGTTACAATGCCACCTTATTTCTGTCTCTCAGCTCAGTAAGGACCGGGGATGCATTTTTCAAATTTCTGATAGAATTTGTGTTGTTCAGGACCGCATCACTCAGATGGTGATTGGAGCAGGTGAAGAGCAGCACGGACTTTATTTTTTTAGAGGCATAGAGGTAGCAAATCGTACTCAGGCTGTGGAGAGGAAAGATTGTGATGTTTGGCATCGACGATTTGGGCACCCTGCTTCTAAGGCGATGGAGTTGTTGCATTTATCAAATAATAATATTAGTAGTGGTTTTGATTCTACGAAGTGTGATGTTTGTATTCGTGCAAAACAATCCCGTGATTCGTTTCCGTTAAGCAATAATAAAACTTCAGAGATTTTTGAGCTAGTTCATTGTGACTTATGGGGTCCGTATCGGACGACATCGATCTGTGGTTCTCGGTATTTTCTTACTATACTTGATGATTACTCACGTGCTTTGTGGATTTATTTGTTACCGAACAAAACAGAATCTCCGACTACTCTACGAAATTTTATTTCACTTGTTGAAAGGCAGTTTGATCGCAAGGTTAAGAAGATCAGAAGTGATAATGGGTCTGAATTTATTTGTCTTACTAATTTTTTTAGTGAGAAAGGTATTATTCATGAGACCTCTTGTGTGGGTACTCCACAACAAAATGGTCGAGTGGAACGCAAGCATCGTCATATTCTAAATGTTGCTCGGGCATTACGTTTCCAAAGTCATCTTCCAGTTCAGTTTTGGAGTTTGTGTGTCTTGACTGCCGGTTATTTGATTAACCGAACGCCTACACCTCTTCTCAAAGGGAAAAGTCCTTTCGAAATGTTGTATCAAAGACCACCACCATTGCAACATCTTCGTGTTTTTGGTTGTTTATGCTACGTTCATAATCAAAAACATGGCGGCGATAAATTTGCTTCTAGAAGTAACCGGTCTGTTTTCATTGGCTATCCTTTTGGGAAAAAGGGTTGGAAGGTTTATAATTTGGATACTGGGGTTATTTCTACATCCCGTGATGTTGTGTTTATTGAACATGATTTTCCATTTTCTCAACAGATTTTGGGTTCCTCGGCTCAGATTTTGGATTCACAACCAACGGACATACCTACTTATGTTGATGAGGATGCGTTTGCTGTGGATCCTCTCTCGGAGACTACGTCTCCTTCCTCTCCCGTTTTGATTGATGAACCGATCACTATAAATCTTCCGACCGAGACTACTATTTTTGACGAAAATGTTGAGGCTCTTGAAGAGACATTGTCCGAGGTATCAACTAGTTCGTCTTCTCCGGTTGTTCATGACTCGCCGGGTGTGGTCTCCTCGGGCTCTAGCTCCGCTGAAAATGATTCTTCTCCTGTTGAGGTCGAACGTCCTATGGGGAAAGGATGTCGTCAGAAATTCCCGAACGTACGTCTTCGTGATTATGTGACTAATACTACTACGGTTGCTACGGATAGTGATTTTATAGATTCTGCGTGGTATCCTATCACGGACTATATTGATTGTTCACAATTTTCTGAGCATCATCGTGCTTTTCTTGCTGCTATTTCTGATGGTGTTATTCCTAGAACACATGCTGAAGCTTTTGAAAATGAGAATTGGCGAGAGGCGGTTCGTAGTGAAATTGAGGCTCTTGAGGAGAGTGGTACTTTTACCGTGGAGACATTACCCAAAGGAAAGAAAGCTCTCGGGTGTAAGTGGATTTTTACGCTAAAATATCGTTCTGACGGTTCTCTTGAACGATATAAAGCTAGGTTGGTAGTCCTAGGGAATAATCAAACGGAGGGTCTTGATTATAATGAGACGTTTGCACCGGTTTGTAAGATGGTAACAGTAAGGTCATTTTTAGAAGTGTCTGTTTCTAGAGATTGGGAAGTACATCAGATGGATGTTCATAATGCCTTTCTTCATGGGGATTTGACGGAAGAGGTATTTATTCGTTTACCTCCGGGTTTTCGGACTGAAGATAAGTCTCAAGTGTGTCGCTTACATAAATCACTATACGGTCTTAAACAAGCTCCTCGATGTTGGTTTGCAAAGCTTTCGACGGCTCTTGTGGATTATGGTTTACTCAGTCTATAGAAGATTATTCATTATTCACTTTATCTGATGCTTCGGGGGCTCTTCGTTTACACGTTCTTGTATATGTCGACGATTTGATCATCTCCGGAAGTTCTCTTGCTCTTATGCATAAGTTTAAAGAGTATTTAAGCTCATGTTTTCATATGAAGGATCTTGGTGTCTTGAAGTATTTTTTGGGCATTGAGGTTGCTCGCAACTCTTCGGGTATGTATTTGTGTCAGCGGAAGTATACACTAGATATCATCTCGGAGATGGGTCTTCTTGGAGCAAAACCGGTTTCTCATCCTATTGAACAGAATCACAAGTTAGCTCATGCGGTAGGTGAGTTGATACCAGATCCTTCCCGCTATCGTCGCTTGGTTGGTAGGTTGATCTATCTTGGCGTAACTCGACCGGAATTGTCCTATGCTATTCATGTTTTATCGCAGTTTATGAAGGCTCCTCGGTCTGAACATTGGGATGCTGCAATTAGGACTGTTTGCTATCTCAAAGGGAGGCCCGGACAAGGAATTCTTCTAAGTGCTCAGTCGGATTTGCCCTTAATTGCTTGGTGTGATTCGGATTACGCAACTTGTCCTGCTACTAGTCGTTCGCTCTCGGCTTGGTTCATACAGTTGGGTGGTTCCCCCATTTCTTGGAAGACAAGGAAACAAGATAGAGTTTCTCGCTCCTCGGCGGAAGCAGAATATCGAGCTATGGCAGATACGGTGAGTGAGTTGCTATGGCTGAGGGAATTTCTTAGTACACTTGGTGTTGATTGCTCATACACTATACCTCTTCATTGTGATAATCAATCGGCTATTCATCTAAGTCGTAATCCGGTTTTCCATGAACGTACGAAGCATATACAAAAGGATTGTCATTTCATTCGTGATGAGATTGTACGAGGTGTTATTGCCCCTCAATATGTATCTACAAAGTTGCAGTTGGCTGATATTCTCACTAAGGCTCTAGGACGCAAGGAGTTTGACGAGTTTTTCTCCAAGTTGGGTATTTTTGATCTACATACTCCAACTTGAGGGGGGGTATTAAGAGGGATGTTATATTATGTAATTAGTATAGAATTATGTATAGTTTGCTAATTACATTAGAGTATTTAGGTTTACTCATTTGTAAGTATAAGAAGGCTTTAGCCGCAC